TTGTTTATTAGTGGAGAACGATGGTAATGTTTACCAAGGGGTAAGGCAGGGAATACCTAGGTTTCGGAAAGAGCCACCAATCCTCATCAGTTCCCTTGTTTTTGTCTGGGATATTCTCCCCAGAAGTTATTTTAAAAATAACTTCTATGACAAAAAACATTTTTTTACCCAAGTGACGAGATCGTAAGCTCAATAGAAGAGGAACCAAAGAATTAAATAAAACTAAAATTCTCTTGGAATTCTCTTGTTTTTATAAAAACAACAATAAAGGGATAAAGCCAGACCATTTTGCAACAACAAAATACTACGGTATCCCGAACAAACAAGCCACACTGTTCTATTAATAGACAAGGCACGGTCGACGAAGGGGTTTTTGTTGTAACAGACAAAACCAACTTACATGGTTATGCTACTTCGTTCAGGCTGAACGAAAGCATAACAAGTGGAGAAAGATGTAAATGTTTATAAGTGCGGTTGTAAGATTTAGAAGACTTTCCAAGAGAATTTTAGTTTTATTTAATTCTTTGGTTCCTCTTCTATTGAGCTTACGATCTCGTCACTTGGGTAAAAAAATGTTTTTTGTCATAGAAGTTATTTTTAAAATAACTTCTGGGGAGAATATCCCAGACAAAAACAAGGGAACTGATGAGGATTGGTGGCTCTTTCCGAAACCTAGGTATTCCCTGCCTTACCCCTTGGTAAACATTACCATCGTTCTCCACTAATAAACAAACGTTGTTTTTATAAAAACAACAATAAAGGGATAAAGCCAGACCATTTTGCAACAACAAAATACTACGGTATCCCGAACAAACAAGCCACACTGTTCTAACTAAAAAAGTTGAATTTAAAATTGTCATAAAGAAATGGGTTCTATGTATTGCAAGCCCCCATTAAGTGCCCATAACGTCATAATTCAGAGTGGATATTAACAATGTCTGATAATGTATATGATACTTCATTTTTCAAGTGACCTCTATAAATGCCATACCGAAATAAAATTCGTTCCACAAAGAAAAATGTCATTGATTGAAGCGTCATCCTTCATTACCTTGAAATGAATGCCAAAATGGGACGGATAATGTATAGCATACTTTACTTGCCGTTATTCAATTAACCACCAAAATAAAACACGTTCCAAGATGATTTTTTATTTACTCAGCTGAGACTAGAAAATAAAAACATTGCATTTATCATTACATTTTGATCAATATATTTTTAAATATACTATTGCCCTTTCTCGCTCAACGACATGGTATCATATCCAAAGTATTTACTGCAGGATAGGGTTGGAGGTGTAAAGAAAATGCCTTCCCAATGAGAGTCCGAAGCGACCAAACCCCACCATGCACTGTCACCCCAGACCTCCAACTCTGTAAGAACAGTCCGAATTATACAACAACAACAACATGCGGACAAAATGCACCAATCACAGCAATACTGTATAGAAATAAAAAAAACGACTGTCTGGTTTTAATCGTTGATTATATTCGAATTTGAATCGAAATTAAATTATGTAAATTAAATTTCATGCTTTTTTTTACTCTTTTTTGTGTGCAAGTTGACAAAGTTAAAAAAAATGAAACGAAAGGGAGACGAGAAGAAGGAGAAAAAAAAAACAAAACTACGTTTTTGTCCAATTGGCAGTGGGTTGAGTTCATTAGACAATTGAAGAGGAGTAAAGATAAAAATGCCGTCGTCTGAGGTAAAGAGGCTAAAATTGTGTTGGTGGTGGTGGTTGTTGTTGTTGCTGCTGCTTTTTAATGTAAGTGGTTAAGTTAATTTAAATGATTTTTGTTGTTGTAGTTATGGCTCTTGTGTTTATTGTGGCCCAAAGAATGCATTTTATTAGTGGTTGTTGTTGTTGTTGGTATGCATTGATGTGTTGTTGTAAGAAATATATTCACATTTCATTGATGTTGTTGGAACTTGTGTTTACCCTGCTCATTATGATTATTATTATTATTTTTATTGTTATTCAATTTCCAGACCATACACCCAACTTCTTTAGTTGTCGTTGTTGTTATTCTTTTATTACATTAGAATATGCCATACACGTTTTATATGCACTTCCTCTTAACTAGAATTGATAATAATGTGTGCATGCTTACGCGTGTGTGTGTGTGTCTCAATGGTTTTCCTTCATTTGAATTTTCTTTTTTTGTCGCTTTTCTTGTAAACTTCCCCAAATGCATGCATGTCCGCCTGCCTTACTTTTTGGCATAAACACAGAAAAAAAACACAATTTATAAACATTCGAGTCGTTTTGTATATTTTCCTTTAAACATTTATAGACATCAGTTTTATAACTTCCGCATACCTAAGTTTATAAAGAATTTTTTGGAATCGTCAAAAGAATATTAAGCGTAATTTATAACATAAAAATGAAATGCAGTTAAAAATATTTGGAAGAGATGCCAATGGCGCAGGTTTTGCAAAAATCAGCTGTTTTTCTAGTAAACGTTCCCATTGTGGAACGCATTTTTATCAGTTTGGTGATGAGAGAAGAATGCAATTATGATAAAAGGGACAACAAAATATTTAAGACATCTAGAAGAGGGCCGTGTGAACAATGACAATTAAAGTGGGGTATAACTATCGACCATGCTAATTATTATTTGCATATCTTTGCATATATCGATGAAATTACATACTTGCCGAAACTATTACATGTTAAAATGAGCATATATTTGCTAGAGAGGGTATACAGGGTGAGATGAAAAAAAACGGTAACCAACTTGAGACTGCTGTCATTTCTAGACGACTCGTCCGACACAGTTTAATGTTATTACAGTGACAGTTCATTATATTGTTTACAAGCGTACAAAAGCATTTTGTAGAGAATTTTTCTGAAAAAGTCATTCGTGATGGAATTCAAGCGTGATAGTGTGATTTCTTTATATTTGGCTGAAAACCCACAAGGGGGTATCGTGGGAGCACTCCCGCATTTAAATGTGAATCTTTAAATGTAAATCTTTTGCGTCTCGTACCATCGCTCGTTACCGTGATACTGGTAGCGTACCCCGACGTCAAGGAAGTGGACGTAAAAAACAGCAACATCAGCAGAAATGGTTCGAAAAGTAAAGAGCGACGACTTGAAAGAAACCCGCGTTGCAGTTGGCCGAAAAATAGCTCATGAGCTGAACATACCGCAATATTCCAAAAAGTTCCAAAAAGTGCAAGAACTTACACCGCAAAAAAAGGAAGAAAATAGACTCAAAAGAGCTAAAGAGTTGCTTCGCTTGGCCGAAAGAATTGAACTGCGGAATTTGGTTTCCTCCGATGAGAAAACATTCGCCACAGTTGTCCAGCAGTTTGTAAAGAAACAAAATGATCATTTTTACTTGCAAAAGAGGTCAGCTGAAAATGTGCACATTCGGTGGGCCATCACACCTCAAGCGCCGGCCATGATGATGGTGTGAGCCGCCCGCCATAACAGCCGATGGCCGCTCTCCGCTCGTAATAATCGACCGTGGCATCAGAAAAAAAGCCGAATATTATCGCGAAAATATTCTGGAGGGTGTATTAAAGCCTTGGGCACACAAACATTTTGGCCGCAGGACTCAGCACCATCGCACTCAGCACGCGCTACTCAAGAATGGTTACAAAATGAGGTTCCTCGCTTCGTTTTCAGCGCACAATGGCCAACAAAATCTCCGGATACCAATACGTTGGATTATGATTATGAAATACCTCAGAGCAACATTCGGGCAGCGTATGACGGTTTCATTGGCCGTTTGAAGGCCATAATGCGTGCCAAAGATGACCAATTCGAACAAATCTAAAGTTATTCTAAAATTGGGTGCTATTTCCGACATTTTTTACTTTCATTCAATAAAATTTAAAAAAATATGTCAAAATTATTGCGTTTGGCTTTGTTGCAGTTTTTTATCTCACCCTGTAAATGTTCGATTTCCTTTAAATTCTGCATATACCAATATTTTTATTTGTATTAGATGAAGTATGAAAATGGAATATTTCGGTCCGACTGATACTATTTAACTTGTTCGATTAAAATCCTGGTCTCATTTTAGTGCTTACTAAAACTAGAACGTAATTTCAATGGCCATAAAATTGTTTATAAACAAAAGAAAAAAATAATAATCTAGTGTGAATTAAAATTTTGCAAATTTTCTTTAGTTTATTTTTGTTTCCGAATGAATGCGATTTGCATTTTAATTTGTTTTCCTATTTGGTTTGTTAATGTTTTAGTTTTACGTACATGGAATTGTGTTGCGTCGCTGCTTATGTACGTGTCCGTACATAAACAATGGCATCATGACTGACCTATGTATGTTTTTTTGTTATCTATATAAAGTAATCAGTTATTTTGGTGTTATAATATCAATTATGATTAATGTATTAGTCATAAATAAATTGTTTTTCGATAGGGTAATAATAATTATTGGTAATCAGTTTGTGGGTTTTTCGTTTATTAATCTCTTAAGGTGAATGAAAAATTGATAACGACAATCTGATGTGTTGCCAGACACCTTTATGATTTCGTTGACAACAAACCCTATGTTAAACTTATGCATTTTTGCCATGATATAGTCGACATTAAACCCCAGGGCTTACTAAATCCGGTAAACTGTAACGTACTTTTATTAAATAACGAATTTATAAAAACCTAATAAAAATAAAATATTTCTCTTATTTCCCAATGGCAACATCATAAATATTTACTAAAATCCCTCTTCCATTTAATTTATTACATTTCCCCTAACAATTTCCATCCAAAATTTGATAATCATAAATCCAAACTCGTTGTGTGGCCAGTTAGCTATATGAGTTCAACGAAGAAAGGAACAAAAAAACAAACAACTCCCATTTCTCTCTTCGTCAAATTTCGTGGCTCCTTTAAACGATGTGCCATTTCTTTTGGACATACGTCAGTGTTAAAGAAACAACCTTTAATAATTAGATAAAAACAACACTTTTTCTAAAAATAAACGGCACTTCAATTAACAAAAAGAAGGAAAATAACATCACAAACTTACCACTCCACAATCAGCTGCCGGTGAATTCTCCACAATATCATAGATAACATGTGGGGGCCCGGTGGTGCCCAATAAAGAAAAACCAAAACCGGAATGATCACTGCTACGATGTAAAACCACTTTCAACTCTTCGGTTGTCATGTTTTTTGTTTCTCTCTTATTGTTGTTGTTGTCGTTTTGTCTGCTTCAACTTGTTTTTATTTGCTTGGCAAAAAATGGTATGGTCTAAATGATGGGAGGAATATTTGATATTTTCTTTTTATTTTTTTTTTTTTTCTTTACAATTTTACTTCGTTTGTCACAATTGTTGTTGTTTTATGAACTAAAATAAAAACAAATAAATAAAATTATATTTTTTTCATAAATATAAGATTTGTTTCTGGTTCTATTCAATAGCTTCCTTTTTTCCTCTTTCTTTGTAGTACATTAAAAGTTTTGTTGTTTGTTGCACACTTTTTTTAAGCTAACAAAGAAGATTTGCCAAAGGTAAAACCACACTTGCACGCAGGGGGTGATTGGGGGGGGGGAGGTTCTTTATACTACTGCAACGTTTGATGACGAAATGTTTGCTGGCAAAGTATGAGTCAAGTCGTCAATAAGTTGTCGTTTGCCTGCCTCGTTGATGTTGTTGCAATACTCGTTGTTGTCGACTTCGGCGTCGTTGTCGTCGTCGTTATAACAGTAGCTCCCACAGCAGCATGATAAGGTTAAACACGAATCCTTTCTATAATGTTATTATCGTTGTTTTTGTTGTTTTTGCTTTCTTATAGTAATCTGCTGCTGCTGACCAGATAAGAAAGAGGGAATGAATAAAATATGTACGATGGAGTTATATTTGAAATAAATTAAACCAACAACAAAACCATACACAACATCACATCTCATTTGTAGAGCTTGTTGTTGTTTTAACGAACGCCGCGTGCTAACGATTTTTTTGCACAACTTTCTAGATTTTCAACATCTTAATGGTTTTAGTTAAAAAAAAACTTTTTTTTTTGTTTCGTGTTATTTTAGCAAATTACATTTTTCATATTCCTCTCTCCTGTTTTGCTTTGTTTGTTTCTTTCTTTCTTCGTCTTGTAATTTATGCTTAGTTGCATTTGAAATGCTTGACTGCTGAATGAATGAATGAGTTTGTTGGTTTTTGGGCTTGGTCGGCGGACTCGATTCACCTCGACAACACACAGTTAAACGCAGTCAGTCGTCTTCTTGTCGGGCATAAACACAACACGACAAGATGTCCAAAAAAATATCAAGGTAATTCCTGCCTTGTATAGCGAACAAAATTATTCAATACATTTTATAATATAAAATGTTTTCTTTGAATTTTTCCTGGATAAAATCACTTTTTTTAAGCCGGCCTCGATTATCAGTCGTCGTCAATACAACAACAAGAGGCAATCACCGCAGCAGAGCAAACCCTACTCACACTCACTCAGTCGTCATCAACGTCGACTGCGACGACGACGTCGTTTCTGCCTTCAATGAGATGTGTTTGTGTGTTCTTTTATTTCTTCTCTTCTTTAATTCCAGCGTCACCACTTTTTTCGCAAATGCACTTGTTTTATTTTCAACGCCTTTCAGCGTTTACTCTTCTTTTCTTCTATTAAATCAATACAAAATTTATCACCTCAACTTTTGTGGCAGATCACAAACAATTTTCCTCGACTTCTTTGTGAATTTTCCATAAAACACACTTTTTTCTGGTAGGAAAAGAATCCAGTTTTTGTTTTACCGTCACCACCTCTTTTTTTCCAACAAACACACACGCACGCACGTACACACAATTATTTGACTTCTGCTGCTGTTAATTTTTATTCGGTTTTACGAGAAAATAAGAAAACCCCTCTCAACGAGGCATTTGTTTTTCATTAACGAAATTCTGTTTTCTTTTCCATTTTGTTATTTTTTCTCCTGCGAACACGATTTTGTTGTAATTTTCCTATTTGCAGGGATATATATATATTTTTTTGGAATTATGAAAATTCTCTTTTAAAAATGGTTTGTACAACACAACCAACCGACGACCGCACTAATTCACTTTAAACTATGTTATATTTATGTTGGACTAGGGACACTTACATCGATTAGTGGCTAATCGATTAATTCGAGAGCAAAAAACCGACAAATCAAACTCGTCTTTTGAGTAGGTAGAAAGTAATCGGTTTCTTGTTGTACTCATCATGTACGACAAATGATATTTTCTTAATTTATATTTTTCTAATTTAAAATAGAAAAATCTATGAATCAAAATCATTGTAATTAAAAGAAGGTAAAAAGAAATAAATTGAAAAAATCTATGGGAAAACGAAAATCGATAAGCGATAAACAAGTTAAGAGTGCAACTTTTACATGGACGCACAGGGCATACATGTTTTTTAATGCCATGTTCTCATTCGTATAAATGTGCTTTTTAATGTCATGTTATAATTGGTATTTTAAATTAAGGTTTTCGCTCTTGGAATAGAGTGCAAGAATAAAAAACAGTTTATACGACATAAATCGTAATTTTTAAACCGTGATTTGTTTGAGCTATTGGAAAGTTATTTAAAAGAAGACACAAAAAATTCATAAAAATTCATGAAATAATTCTATGAATCGATTAACCAACGCTCACAATATAGATAAATAACATCTAGACGTTTTTAAACGTGATAGTGTGATTTCTTTATATTTGGCTGGAAAACCACAAGTGGCTATCGTTAGAGCACTCCAGCATTTAAATGTGAATAAACCTTTTGTGTCTCGTACCATCGCTCGTTACCGTGATACTGGTAGCGTATCCCGACGTCAATGGAATGGACGGAAGAAAACAGCAACATCAGTAGAAATGGTTCGAAAAGTAAAGAAGCGACAGGCGTCGCTGTGGCCGAAAAAAGGCTCGTGAGCTGAACATATCGCAATATTCAATTCGACAAATATTGTAAAATGAGTTCGGTGCAAGATCTTACACCGGAACAAAAAGAAAATAGAATCAGACTCAAAAGAGTAGCTTCGCAAAGCCAAAAGTGGTGAACTGCATAATTTGGTTTTCTCCGATAAGAAAACATTCGTTGTCCAGCCGCTTGTAAACAAACAAAATTATCGTGTTAACTTTCTAAAGAGGTCAGCTGAAAATGTGCACCTTCGGTTGGCCACCAGAACACCGACATAACAGCCGATGGTCGCTCTCCGCTCGTAATAATCGACCGTGGCATCAGAATAAATGCCGAATATTATTGCGCAAATATTTTAGAGGGTGTATTAAAGCCTTGGGCATGCAAACATTTTGGCCGCAGACCTAGGACATTTCAACAGGACTCAGCACCATCGCACTCAGCACGCACCACCTAAGAATGGTTACAAAATGAGGTTCCTCGCATGGTACAATGATATCAAGGTAGGGCTATGATACCATATGATTTTAATTTTTTTATTTTCTTGGCTTAATATGTCATCTTTATTTGTTTATGTATGTGTTTTATTTTCAATAACAAAAAAATTGTTCAGAAAACATTCAAATTCGGATGTTTTCAAAATGTTTATTTCGTCGTATGCATCGACAAAATCTAGAGGTTTTGTAGCGAAATAATCCTTTAGAGATATATAGAACCTGGTTTTGAAAAGAAGTGTTGACCTTTCATTCAGTTTTCGCGGTTTTCAATTATTTATTCAAAATAAATGCAACAAGTTGTTTGATTTTGTTATTGTTTTGATACTATTTCTGACATTACAAGCCAAACAGGTAGACCTCTATACTTGCAATTTTTTCAAAGTTGACCTACCTTCTCTTCATTGTACCATGGTTCCTCGCTTCATTTCCAGCGCACAATGGCCACTAAAATCTCCGGATACCAATCCGTTGGACTATTATGTCTGAAGTATTTTGGAAAGCAAGGTTGGCACTAAAAATATCAAAGTGTCGATCACCTCAAGCAAGCGCTTCGCCGGGAATGGGCCAAAATACCGCACAGCAACATTCGTTTCATTGGCCGTTTGAAGGCCATAAGTCGTGCCAAATATGAACAATTCAAACAAATCTAAACTTATTCTAAAATTTGATGCTATTTTCGATTTTTTTTTTGCTTTCATTCACTAAAATTAAAAAAAAAAAAAATAGAAATTATGGTCTTTAACTTTGTTTCAGTTTTTTATCTCAACCTGTATATATGTTTTGTCAGAATAGGGGCACCAAAAGAAAAAATTGTATGTGGGAGGTGGCTTTGTTCTACCTTCTGTAATTGTTCCATGAGTAAACGTACTTATACGTTAAGCTATTAACTCATCCGATAAGACTAGCTGATTTAAATTTAATATGTTTGAGTTTTTTCCATAGTCCAATTTATTGTGATTCGTCAATTAGCGTTGTTAACCCGGTAAAAAATTTGCATGTAAACATATGTCTGCAACCAATTTCCAGAGCCCTTTAGACCGCTTTTCTTCGATCTTCTAGAGCCCTTTACCAATCGAAAGTCGACTGACATAACCCTAATGTCATTATCATCATTAACGAAGAAGTCGTGTTCTTTGCGGTACCTTTGGACAAATTAAAAAACTTGAAACTCATTACTAAACGAAAATCTTATTCCCCCACTTTAGATACGAATTAAAAACAAAGGAACAAAATGAACGCAATCTCTGGACTTGTTAAGGATACTCTGCCAAATTATTTGTCAAGCTTGCCTATTCCCGATAGCTTTGGAGGCTGGTTCAAATTGTCGTGTAAGTAGTATGTCACTCACTAAAATGCAAGGCATTTCATGCAGGGGAATGCAATAGCAATGAGATTCGAAATGAGTTGTCAAAGAAAAAAAAAAACTGGAATGGACTTAATTTATTCAAAACTGGAGCCCAAAATATACCAAGTCAATATTTTCAGCTTAATAGGGGGCTTGTTATCTGTGTGTGTTTTTTGCCGTTTATCGGAACGTGCAGCTAGATTAATTTAATTACCCTTTCTTCTAGTCATCCGTCATCGTTGTTTTTGTTGCAAATTATATTCGTAGATTATGCAACAAACAATTTTTTGTCAACTTTGGAACTATGTTTTGTTGTTGTTGGTGGTGGTATTTTGTCGTACTATATTCAGTGTGTTTTCTTTCATTTTATTCTGTTAAGTTTATGCGTGAGCTTTTATTTCATAGTTGTTGTAATAGCGCGAAATAACATGTTGTTGTTATATATAGTTCATTTTGTTTTTTTTTATAAATATTAGGTTGTTATTGACCTGCTTTTTGGTTTGTTTAATTATAACCTTTTCTCCGTTGTGTTGTCTTTACGCCGCTTCTCTTTTATTTTATTTATTGACTGCTGCTGATGTGAAAGATAAGCTAATGGGGGGTTTAAAATAATCATCTGGAATTTAATTAAAATTTCTAAAAATGAATGACTAGTGAAAAGAATTGGTATGGAGTAATAGGCTAGTGTGCATATTTTTACCTTCGGAGGTATATAGCTTACATCATGTGATTATGGAAATATATGCATATACCTAGGTGAATATTTTTATGTCATTTATATAAAACACACATGTCTAAAGGAATATTTACTTATGGGCTGCCCCGTCTAGCAATTTCTTTGTGAAGTATAGTTTATTTAGGCTTTCTACCCCCCGATATCCGGTATTTTGTTGGTTGTAGCCAAATTGTTCAATGAAATTGTCTGAAAATCCCCAAAGGAAGTTCCATCTGAGTACTTTACCCCCTGGAAGAGTATTGTCTATATAGGTCCACGATATCGTATAGCCCACATACAACGGTACCCCCCGATATTCAATATTTTGACTATTTTTAGGACTTAATTCACCCGAGTTGTTTCAAATTTCGTATTTGGAATTCGTAATGGGTACTACAGCCTATGACAAAAAATAGTGTGTTCAGGCCCACGTCTTAGTATAGCTTCCATATAACGGTACCTCCCAATATTCAGTATTTTGTTGATTTTAGCGACATTAGTCACCGGAGTTGTTTTAAATTTGGTATTTGAAGTTCGTAATGAATACTTAAGCCTATGACAGAAAATTGTCTGTGTAGGTCCACGTTTTGGTATAGCCCCCATATAATAGTTTATCAATAGTATTTTCTTGATTTTAGCGACTTTATTCATCAGATTTGTTTCAAATTCCGTATTTGAAGTTCGTAATGGATACTTAACCCTATGACAGAAAATTGTCTGTGCAGGTCCATGTTTTGGTATAGCCCCCATATAATAGTTCTTCCCTATATTCGGTACTTTCTCGATTTTAGCGACATTATTCATCGGAGTTGTTTCAAATTTCGTATTTAGACCTCGTAATAGGAACTAGAGTCTGTGACCGAAAATTGTCTATGCAGTTCCAAGTCTTCGTATGTGCCCCATATATCAGTATCTCCCTATATTTGGTATTTTGACTATTTTAGGTACAATATTCACCGAAAATGTTTGAAATTTCGTATTTGAAGTTCCTAATAGGTACTACAGCCTGTGACAGAAAATTGTGTATGTAGGTCCCGGTTTTCGTATAGGCCCCATATATCAGTTCCTCCCTATATTCGGTATTTTGACGATTTTAGGTACAATATTCGCCGAAATTGTCTGAAATTTCGTATTTGAAGTGCCTAATGGGTACTATTGCCTGTGACAGAAAATTGTTTTTGCAGGTCCAGACCTTCGTATAGCCTCGATATAATGGTACCTCCTTATAATCGGTGTTTTGATGATTTTAGCTTCATTTAACCGGATTTTTTTTCAACTTTCGTATTTGAATATGGTAATGGCTTGCGACGAAATTTGCCTATGCAGATCCATGTCTTCGTATAGACCCCAATACAACGGCGACTTCCTATTCGGTATTTTTAAGATTTTTACAGACTTTTTAAGGGATTTTATTTTTTTGAAAATTTCCAAATTCGTTCCAGTTGGTGGAGGGTATTCAAAGTTTGGCTCGGCCGAACTTGCTGCTTTTTTACTTGTTGTTTTTAATCCCTCCACCACAAAATGAAGGTCCTTTATGTCTGCAATATCTCGAAATAATCGTCACTCGTATCATCCCATTAGCTTTACTTCTTCACCAAATAGTCTACAATTCTGATCTTCGCAAAGGGAGAAAGGGACAATGTTATGAGTCTTGTTATTTCCGCGTGGATTTCTAAATGTGGAACTTACTGAGTCTGTCTATGAAATGACAGAGCATTAAAATGAGCAAATCTTCCTCAATATTTCAGTTCCCAATACCCTCAGCTATGGGAACAAGCCCCGTAGAGTGAAACTGGGAGTGGACTGCGGATATGAGAACACAGCTGAATGTGCAGGTCGAGGTGCACATAATTCCGACCACTAACTACCACAAAATCCTCGGGGTCACGTTCGACAGCATGTTCAAGTTGTCTGCGCAAACCACAGCTATCTGCGATAAATTGAACAAGGCACTTGCCGCCAGCACTTGTGGCGGATAAGCAAAACCTTGTGCAGACCTACCTTGTAGTATTCAGACCTGCCAGAATGCCGTCCTGAGAACTGCAACAGGGTGCCTCCTGTGGACCATTCACCGTCCAGCACTCATTAACGTGAGACACAGGTTGGTGGGGAAACAAGTGCCACATGATTTGTCTTCGTTCTCTAACGCTGACCCTGCAGTAATTCTTCAATTAGCCACAAGACTTAAGTGGCTAAAGACGACACGGCAAAATTTCTAACCCTGGATTACTCTCATAACTCTATTTCCTATCAATATATCTTCACTTTTTCCACCAATTTTTCCTTCTCTACTTCATTCATTTAAGATGAACACAATGCACCAGCAGGTTTTCGAGTTTAGCGGTAATGACTACCCAAATCCCACATCTTCCCTTTTATGATAGTCGTAATTTTAGCACTGCAACAATTTCTTTCTGCACTTGTAAGAGCATCTGATGGTTGGTTCTTTACAAAACATACCAGTTTCAATCACTTCCACAATCTGTGCTCTATATCCACTAATAGATTTCTGAGTGGGGATATATGTAGTCAACATCACTCACAAATATTAGCAAGATCAACATTTCCAAATAGTGGATCCCTCCAAATGCTTAAAATCGCATTTTAATACCTTTAACTTAAGAACATAAGATACAATATTTGAATAATTTATACACTCGGGTTAGTATTATCTGAAATCGGAAATTTCTGTTGCCAATATCTATTCATGGTCCAGATAATTTTAATATTCCTCTTAAACCTGTCGATAAACACTCCCTCCGTATTGCTGGTCTTTAATAAAAACTTTTCCTTTTCTTTCATTTCCACAGTCAAAGATTGGTTAGCCCTCATTCCACCCACCGCCGTTGCTGCCGGTATTGGCTATACCGTTTACTTAGCTTACTGCCCCGCTGCCAAAGGTGGTTGTTCCAAGGCCGGACGCTGTAATCAATCCGTGCGCAAACATGAAGCTAAAGTTGTCGACATGATTGACATTGAAAATATTGCCGAAAAGGCTGCCTTCTGCCGCTGCTGGAAGTCAAAGAATGTAAGTGAATTTAATAATCAAACAAACACAATTTATAATTTTTATTAATAAATGTATTTTCTCCTATTTCTTTCTTATAGTGGCCCTATTGCGATGGCAGCCATGGTGAACACAACAAACAAACTGGTGACAATGTTGGCCCCGTGGTGCTTAAGAGAAACTCTTAGATATAAATAGGAAATATGATGCTATAGAGGATTTCCTAATCTAGCCTAGCCTCTGTTACAGATTTCTTTGCTTTTAAAGAGTTTACTTCCTTTTCTTTTTTTCTGTTGAAAAATGTTCTTTACTTTTGTTTCTATTTAATTTTTGGATCGGGCCCAACGAAAGAACATTGGTGTCGTCTTGTTGTATAAGTAGATATATATATTTTTTTCGCCTTTTTTATTTGTTGCTCTAATTTGCCTTTATTAACTCTACATTTAAACCATTCATGGATATTAATTGATCATAAATTAATAATAATATTGTCTAAGAATTTAATAATTAAATTGTGGCAAATTTTTCTCCCCAGAAAAAGAAAAACCTAACGGAAATTTTTATTTGTGGAAAAAACGAGAACGGAAATATGCACCAAAGGAGGAGGAATTCTCCTCTAAAATATGACGTACACAAAACTTGTATTAGGGCTACATTAAAAATATTTTTTAAAGATACAATTTAACAAGTCAAATAGTCAAGTCGATTTTGCCAGACTTGAGTTATGATTATTCAAAATGTTGACATTTTATGGGGAGGTTTCAGTCCGTGACCTAAGACCGATAAAAATATTACAACATGACAGATGTGGACTATATCGACTACTTTCTATACTTTATATGAGATATGTGCAAATTTTTGGAAACTGGAGAAATATGCATGAGGTGCCAGATATAGAGGACCGATGTATTCCATTTTCATAGTTCATCGCATAAAAATATTGGTATGTGCAAAATTTGAAAGAAATCGAACATTTATATCTAATTTTATACGAAAACATAACTTCCGATAAGTTTTCATGTTCACATTAGATTTCTGGTTAAGAGAAATATTAAGATATAGCAAGTTATAAAGAATCGCCGACTTGTTTCGCAATGTTAAACAAGTATAAGTATTGGAAATATTGAACCTTTCTGGGTGATATACCAGGTGGGAAAATCTTGAACCCTATAAGGGGGAGGTACCAAAAGAAATGGTCCGATCTGTAACAGATCTTGTGTTGAGGGAAATATTAGGGTTTAACAAGTCTGAATGGAATCGGATGTTAATTTCAAGTTTTATGAGCTTCATATATTCAAAATTTTGACCCTTTGTTGTAAAGGTACCAGGATAGTGGACCGATATTGTGATGTGTGTAATTTGAAGAGAATCGGATGCTTATTCCGCTTTCTTTGTTTTTGTTATTCAAAACTGACCCTTTGTGGAGGAGGTACCAGAAGAAATGGTCCGATCTCTACCATCTTTATAATATACCTTGTGTTGATGGAAATATTGTGATGTGCCAAGTCTGAATAGAATCGGATGTTAATTTCGTGTTATGTGAGCTTCATATATTCAAATTTTTTTACCAGAAGGAGTGGTACCGATATATACCATCTTAACACCAGATCTTGGGTTTATAAAAATATTGGAATGTGTGTCATTTGAAGGCAATCGGACACTTACATCAGCTATAATTATTCAAAATGTTGACCCTTTATGGGGGTGGTACCAGAAGGAGTGAACCGATATTGTGCATTTCCGCACCTGACCTAGCACTGATGGAAATATTAGGATTTGCAAAGTTGGAGCAAAATCGGATTATCCTTTCTCTTTCTGTGCAGTAAATTATTTTCTTTGAAAATTTTGACTTTTTGTGGGGGAGTTACGAGAAAGAATGGTCCGATCTCTAACATCTTTATAACAGGTCTTGAGTTTATGGAAATATTGAGATGTGCCACGTCCGAATGGAATCGAATCGTAATTTCGTGTTTTATGAGCTTCATGAATATTCAAAATTTTGATCCATTGTGGGGGATGTGCCAGAAGAAATTATCCGATCTCTACCATCTTTATAACAGATCTGGTGTGATGGAAAAATTACTTTATGGAGTGCAACAATATTGTTCATTTTCGAACCTGACCTGGCACTGATGCAAATATAAGGATTTGCAAAGTTGGATTAAAATCGGGTTACCCTCTCTCTTTCTGTGCAGTAAATTCTTTTCTTTGAAAATATTGACATTTTGTGGTGAGAGACCAGAAGGAGTGGACCGATATTGCCCATCTCCGAACTCGATTTAAGTTTGACAATAATATTATGATGTACCTCGGATACTCTCTTCGAGAGTTATCGTGGTTAGCAGCCAGCTAGACAGACTGACGGACAATCACTAGATCGACTCCAAATGTCCTGAAAGAAACCTAGGGTCTAAAACTGTTATTTCGATGAGGCACGTTTTGGCCGTATCAAATGATATATACCCTCCCTCTCTAGCCATATGACTGAGGGTATAATTACAAAATGATCCGAGCATAGCCCTTTTAACTCAACATGCAACCGGCCAAGTTTGTTATCATTATTCAGTGTGTCCCCTCGATGATCAACGACTGCTTAGTTTTATCAGCAAGTGACTAATCAAGTTATGCTGGACGGCGAAATATTTTTGGCAACGGTGATGTCATTCGGCCACCGTTAAAAAAAAAAAAAAAACAAAAATGCCATAATTCAAAGATTGGCAAAACTAGTTTGCCAATAATGAATGAGCCGCACCCATTGGCAAACATCCCTACAACATTGGGGGGTCAATGACCTTCAATGAACCCAAGAGCTTTTGTTCTGCCAAGGACTTTTATCAGCAGCAACAATTAGTTTACTATCATCTCTACCAACTACCGAAAAAGCAACAAACGCCTGATGACAAAAAACTTGGACTTCTTTAGTTTTGTGTTTTCTTTTGTTTTTGTTTTTTAATAAATTAAAACGAAATATTTATATATTACACGCTATGAGCATTCCGAGCATTTTATGAAAAAAATAAAATAAAAAAGGGAATATGTTTTACAAAAAAACATTGTTTTTAATTACATATATAAAAAAAGAAGGCGAGAGAAAGAATACAATGCAAATACAATTAGAACGTGGTGTTTATCCTTGGGGAGAGTGTGCAGGAGTTAAATGGCATTGTTGTTTTGTTTTTGGAAAATATCACACTCCTCGGCGTTCGTTTTCAGTTTGTTGTCTGTCTGTCTCAAGCCCATTATCAATCTTGGTAGTGTTGGGAGGATAAACGTAACGTACGTAAATGTTTTAAACATAAATAATTGTAGCTGTTTGCTGTTGTTGTTGTTACACGACGCGCACACACGATGACGACGATGATGACATTATTTATTTTTTTGCTACTACTGCATAGATTTATTTGAAGATCTTGCCTTGATTGAATTTACGGCCGTCTTTGTCGGTACCAGTCCATGAGAAGTATTGTTCAACCAATTTCTTGGTTTCTTCGCTCTTGGGATCCAATTTCTTCCAGTCATAGACTTCATAATCGACCTGCCAGTCGGGGCTCAATGTGAAGGCGAGTTCTTGTCCGCGCCACACCCAGATACCGGAGATGGTCGAGTTGTTGTCCTCACCGAACAAGCACATGGAGGCAAAGGCTTGCTTGCGCATCTTGTCGATACGTTGGTACATGCCACCGATCAAATTGCAAGACATGAAGGTCTTGGTCAATTCCTCGTTGTATTTGTATTCACCATACCAGATGGAGTAGTGTTCGGGATCGAACTTTTCCCAGAAGTATGGAATGGACACTTTCTCATCTTCGTTGGAGTAGACGCGTTTGAAGTCATCGAAATTGAAGGTACCCTTGGGCAAGGCATCGAAGGGATCCTTGGACTTGGGTTCAGCGGCAAGAGCCAAATCGGCAGCATCGAGCTCCTCCTTTTTGGGTTCTTCCTTCTTGGGAGCGGGCTTCTTCTCCTCCTTGGCCTTCTTTTCTTGTTGGGGTTTGGCACCACCGGTCTTAGCTTGGAATTCGGCATATTTCTTGGGATCGAACACCAAGGCCTTGTCGCAAAGGCTGTAGTTACCGACGACAGCCTTAACTTGCTTCTGGTTCAAGATGGTGTTGAACCAACGGTTCAAGTTGGTGTATGGCTTGCGGGAGGCAGCATCCAAAACGTATTGGTAGACATGCAACAGACTGCAGAACACAACAATATCGGCCAAAGTGATACGTTCACCAACCAAGTAGGTGGATTCCAAGAATTTCTTGTTCAGCAAGTTCAAAACAACTTCAACGTCTTGTTTGGCAGTGTTGCCCTTCTGTTGGGGCATAATGCCCAACAAGGGGAATACCAAGGCACAGGAGGCGGGGACGATTTCATTGTCGGCGAATGACAGCCATTGTTGGACCTGGGCTTGGGCGAAGGGGCATTTGCCACCACGCAATTGTTCACTGGCCAAGAAGTAGGCGATGGCATTGGATTCACTGAGGAACTTGCCGTCCGATGTCTCGAAAGCAGGAACCTACAACAACAACAAAAACAATCCTTAATTAAAAGAGAACAACATAACCTCACTTTCGGCATTTTTCAAGCAAATGATGACGTTTACACACCGTCATAACCGGCTGTCAAACACCACGCCATGAGGAAATAACATTGTTTTGCCCTGACTTACCTTACCGCTGGGGAACTTCTTCAAGAATTCAGCCGACTTATTTGTTTCGCCGAAAACAAAATCGCTAGCAACTTTCACTTGAGCGCCCGAGTATTGGGCAGCAATCAATGCCTTGTAGGCACGGAAGTTTTCTGGGTATGTGTATAGAGTCTATATGGGTGTTGATGAAAAGGGCGAGAGAGAGAGAATAGAAAATTTCATATTAATTAAATTCGGCAATTTCAGGGTTTCCATCCAGCATTCCATTGTCGGGCAATGGAAAAAGGATGTTTTGGATATTTAGCGAAATTTTATCACAGAATTTTTTTACTTACTCCTGCCATCGTTGATTTTGCCGGAAAGAAGGAGGACAGTCGCGAAATTTACGTGACAGTGTGACAGTTGAAACGTCAAAACACAACAACAACAACTTTGATGACCTTGCAAATTAAATGACAGCGTACAGAGCGTAAGGCGACTGTCAACTGGTAGAGTTGTTATTCTGACAGTGGCGTATAGATGTTATTAACACTATGTTTACACAAGGTAAGAGAAATAATTTCTGTTGCATGAGGCGAGAAATCGAACAATGTTTTTTTATTAGGAGGTTTTTATATTAAAGGGTGACTTAAAGGAACACATAACATTCAAATAAATGCATGAAATATTTATATGAATTGATGTAACCAGATGTTTAACAAGTTAAAAAGTATCAGTAGGTTATGCCGACAGATGTATACCCTCTGCCAATATTCGATTATTTAATTATATTTTGACTACTGGGAAATCAGCAAAATCAGCAGAAATGGTTCGAAAAGTAAAGAAGCGACTTGATAGAAATCCGCGTCGCAGTGGCCGGAAATGGCTCGTGAGCTGAACATATGGCAAAAATGTGCTCGGGGTAAAGCTATTGAAATTCCAAAAATTGCAAGAACTTACACCGCAACAGAAAGACTCAAAAGAGCTAAAGAGTTGATTCGCTTGGCCGAAAGGGTTGAACTGCCGAATTTGGTTTTCTCCGATGAGAAAACATTCGCCACAGTTGTCCAGCAGTTTGTAAACAAACAAAATGTTCGTGTTTACTTGCCAAAGAGGTCAGCTGAAAATGTGCACCTTAAGTTGGCCACCAGAACTCAAGCGCCGGCCATGGTGATGGTGTGGGCCGCCATAACAGCCGATGGTCGCTCTCCGCTCGTATTAATCGACCGTGGCATCAGAATAAATGCCGAATATTATCACGAAAATATTCTGGAGGGTTTATTAAAGCATTGGGCACGCAAACATTTTGGCCGCAGACTTTAGACATTCCACGCGCCACCCAAGAGTGGTTACAAAATGAGACTCCTCGCTTCAATGGCCACTAAAATCTTCGTATACCAATCCGTTAAACTATGTGTCTGGAGTATTTTGAAAAGCAAGTTTGGCACTAAAAAATACCAAAGTGTCGATCACTTCAAGCAAGCGCTTCGCCGAAAATGGGCCAAAATATCGTAGAGCAACATTCAGGCAGCGTGTGACAGTCTCATTGGCCGTTTGAAGGCCATAGTTCGTGCCAAAGGTAACCAATTCGAACAAATCTAAACTTTTTCTAAAATTTTATGCTATTTCCGACATTATTCTGCTTTCATTCAATAAAATTTAAAAAAAACAATTAAAAATTGTAGCGTTTGATATTGTTGTAGTTTTTTTATCTCACCCTGTACATAGTTTTTGTCATAGCTCAATAAAAAAGGGTTGCTCAACTTCCAGGAAGCTAGGAAAATGCAACTCTATACTGGAGTATATTTAATATATATGTTAATATCAAATGCAGTTACAAGACTATAGCTTTAGAATCGCGTTTTTAAAATGTATGTCCTACTTTGTAATATTTGTATAATACCAAAAAGTAATACATTTACGTGATTTTAATTATGGAAGACACCCTGTGACTAGTTTCCCCCCACACTCGTAGCATAACATGTGAAACACCCTTGTTATGTGTCAAAAACTGCACCGTGTTACCACATCAATGACATTTGCCTGCAAACGGCATTACGGCGGCATCTACCACACATCTCGCCTCGGTTATCTTTCGTTGTACACGAAAAAAATGGAATATCAGCCGTTTTTGTCCGGCCCGTGCAATTTTTCACAAAATTTTATCAATTAATTAACTTTTTTGCATAATATTCTAAGCGAAAAATGAAGAAAAACAACTAAAATCTATGCATAAATAAAAGTTTAAAGGAAATCAACAAAATTACCAAGCAAAAAAGCTAGAAAAAGTCGGTGTAAAAGTTTTTTTTTTTGCGAAATAGAAGGCAAATGGTAGAAAAGAAGGCGAAAGAAAGCGAGACTACGACGACGACGATGTAAATGTTGAAAGGAAAAATAAATCAAAGTGAAAAATAAGTTTTTCTTTTTTTTATTATAAAAAGCAAGATATTCAGGAATATCTCTAGACAAAAGGAGTGTGTGAAAATTTGATGATAATTTTTCGGAAAAAGAGTTGGTTTATAGAGTGTTGCAGCAGTGGCACCTGAAATTCCAATTTATGTGGTGGTTGCTGGTGTATGTGTGTGACGTTGAAGGAAAAAAAAACTAAAAATTTTTCCCAAAAATAAAGAAATTACTAATTATTTTCCATATGAACTAATTAAATTCCCATGTTCATTCGTCTTGCCACCAGTAGCGGCAGCATATAGAGTGGGGACGATTGGAGGCAGCATTGTGGATTTTTTGGATTTCTAAGCCACAAATGCATGGCGTTCAAGCTGAATATGTAAGTTTGCTATTTGCTTTTTCAAAGTGAGTGTTGTGTTGGTGGGTCGGTCGTTCGGTCGGTGATGATGGCTAACAATCAATGAAAAACGTATTTCCATTAGTTTTGTAAGCAAGGCAATCCATCATTGCATATGATGATGGCGTTGCATATTCCTGCAATGTCTTGCTGCGTTTTGTTTTTTTTTTTTCATATAAAATTTATGTCATCTCTGGTGTAGTATTTGATAAATGAATTTGTCCCTGTTTTTTTTTTTTTTTGGTTGCATATTCCATTTGCTTTTGTTTTATTATTTGGTTGACTGTTTTTTCCTACTCTTGGCTATTCGGTTTTGTCGGTCTCGCTCTCTTTTTCGGTGCTACCTCTCTCTTGAGCCGTATATGAAAAAACACGGTGTCGCTCTTTCTCTTTTTCTCTTCCCCTTGTTATATCTCGTTTTTTGAAGCAGACATCATGAACAGCAACATGTAATAACAAAATTTTGTTAATTTTTTGTGTTTTGTTTTTATTATTTTTTGTCATTGTTAATTTTTGTGTGAGTGTGGAGAAAGTTTAAGGAGAAGCAAAAGGGGGAAGGGGGTAAATTCTGTGTGTGCATTGTTGATATTGCCATTTAATGTGAGCCTATTGTCATTCATTGTTGTTTTTGTTTTGTAACATTGCATATAAACGACACGGAGACCACGACGACGACGACGTTACCTAACCTTAGATAACTAGACAAACTAACGGTTTGTTCTATGTGTGCGTGTGTTTGTTGTTTTTGTAGTATGTACATGAACGGACAAGTGTAATATAGTGCTGCTGCTGCTACCACTGTTGAGACAGGGTGCCGATGCCATACATGCCGTATAATAATTCTCCCCTTTTTCCTTTGATTGCTGCCAGTGTTTCGTTGTTTTTGTATTCATTCTTCTCCCTGTTATTGCAATTTTCCCAACTATTCTCCATGTGATGAGTTCTTATTTTACTCTGTCATTCACTGGGGGATTTAATTGACCAGGTTATGTTTTTTTCTGTTTCTGCTTCTTCTATTGTTGAGTTAGGAAAGCTTTTCTTCTTCTTTTTTCCATTTATTTATTGTGTATGATTTTCAATTTATATCATCCACCACTACCGCAACCCCTTGTAAAATGTGGTATTCTCCCTCTCCCTGGTGATGTGGATGTTGCTGTTGTTGTTTTTTGTTGTGTTGTGTTGTTAAGCCTACCTTAACATTAGGTATGCAGAGCGTGACCTTCATTACAGCATTACTACGACGACAACAACTATTTTTATTACTATCGGTACCCAACTAGAAGAGGAAGAAGATGTCGCTCGACGTTAGTTTATGTTGCACGGCAAGCAAGGGCGTGTGTGTGTGTGTACTACGCGTACTATTAGAATTTGCCATCACTCTCATTGCATGGGCTCGCCTACCCAGACATTTGTTGTCCAATCGAAGGGCATTGCATGGGCAACGGTTTGGTTTTGGATTTTGATATCATTCCCATCACAGTGGGAGATAATCGATAAAAATATTAATGGAAAAACAACATTAGTAGTGATTGACAGCTACCTATCGTTATCGGATGTCAACATTTTCTCGTTTTGACAATTTAATGCGCTTTATTTAGTTTGTTTGAATTAGGTAGTCGGAAAATCACGTTTACCAACCAACGTGGATGAACGTGAAATTGATAATTAAAGTGCCTGGGTGGGAGTTCAATTTTGGATAACAGATAAATACGCAACCAAAGCAATTCACCATTAATTTCCTTAAAATCCTGGAAGTCACAATCGATACCATGTTTAAGTTGTCCTCGCAAGCCGTAGCTATCTGCGATAGAATGAAAATTAGGACGAAGACGAGGTATGCTGACAAGGAGACCTTGTTGACCCTTTTTATAAAATGATAGTTGGGTCTTCTGTTAGCTGTGTGGTCATAGGTTGGTCTGCTAATACAATTGCTACCCAGTGGAAAAATATTCAGACCTGTAAGAATAATACAATGGAATAACTCCTTATTACTACATGAATTGAGTTAAGATTCGGAGGCCTACTGGTCATTTGGGAGAAAAATAATTAAGAAAAAAGAAAAGGAAAGGAAAGAAGGAAACCGAAACGAAGAAACCACGAAGAAAATATTACCGTGTTGCTTTTAGCCTGCTGGTTTTTTGTCGAAGATCTTTCATAATTTGCTCCTCATGATTTGAAGAAAGTTAAACAGTGGCAGTTTCCCTCTCACCTTGACAAAGCCTGCAGTAATCGATGTTGTCGCCAGCCCCTTAGAAGTCGCGACCCTTATGCTACAGTGTCCTGTGATGATATCCACCACAAGTTTCAGATCTGATTTCGCCACTGAAACGGGCGACCTTTTTCTCTTCTTTTTCTTAGAGACATTATATTCACTTTCATTTAACCAATTTTGTTGAAATTGATCCGGGACAATGTTTATATATCTCTAGGAAAAAGTGGATACGAACAAAAATAACGTCGACTTAACTTTTTATACCCTTAGCCATATGGTGGCTAATCGAAATAACGGATTTAGACCCTAGGTCTCTTTGGACCAAATCCGTTTCAGGACATTTGGTGTCGATCTAGCGATGTCCGCCCGTTTGTCTGGTTGGTTGGTTGGTGCGCACAATAACTGTCAGGGAGTATCCGATTTGATCCAAATTTGGTGAATCGTAATATTATTGTCAAAATTAGATCAAGTTCAGAGATAGGCAACATCGGTCCACTCCTTCTGGTACCTCTCACACAAAATGTCAACATTTTCGAACAAAATAAATTACTTCACAGAAAGAGAAAGGAATCCTAATATTTGAATCAGTGATAGGTCAGGTGTGAAAATGGGCAATATCGGTCCACTCTATCAAGTAATTTTATTGAATGAAAGCAAAAAATGTCGGAAATAGAATCAAATTTTAGAATAAGTTTAGATTTGTTCGAATTGGTCAACTTTTTCACGAATTATGGCCTTCAAACGGCCAATTAAACCGTCACACGCTACCCGAATGTTTCTCTGCGGTATTTCGGGCCATTCCCGACGAAGCGCTTGCTTAAGTTTATCGACACTTTGGTATTTTTTAGTGCCAAACTTGTTTCCAAAATACTACAGACAAAATAGTCCAACGGATTGGTATCCGGAGATTTTGGTGGCCATTGTGCGCTGGCAATGATGCGAGGAACCTCATTTTGTAACCATTCTTTTGTGACGCGTGCGGAATGCGATGGTGCTGAGTCCTGTTGAATGTCCAAGGTCTGCGGGCAAAATGTTTGCGTGCCCTAGGCTTTAATACATCCTCCAGAATATTTTCGCGATAATATTCGGCATTTATTCTGATGCCACGGTCTTTTGAGTATATTTTCTTTCAGCTGTTGTGTAAGTTCTTGCACTTTTTGGAATTTCAATGGCTTTACCCACGACCCCAATGTTCAATATTTGCCGAATAGAATATTGCGATATGTTTAACTCACGAGCCATTTTTCGGCCACTGCGACGCGGGTTCGAGTCGCTTCTATATTTTTCGAGCCATTTCTGCTGATGTTGCTGTTTTCTTCCGTCCACTTCCTTGACGTCGGGCTACGCTACCAGTACCAGTATCACGGTAACGAGCGATGGTACGAGACACAAAAGATTTATTCACATTTAAATGCTGGAGTGCTCCAACGATAGCCAATTTTGGTTTTCGAGCCAAATATAAAGGAATTACTCTATCGCGCTTGAATTCCCTCATGAATAAGTTTTTTTTCTGAAAAATTCTCGCCAAAATGCTTTTGCACGCTTGTAAACAATATAATGAGCTGTCACTAGAATAATTTTAACAGTTGTCGGACAGGTGGCTTAGAAATGACAGCAGTCTGATGTTGGTTGGAGTTTTTCATCTCACCCTGTATATCATACTTATTTAGGTCCAGTACGAAATGGACAATACTGGCCTATTCCTTCGTAACCTACTCTATAAGGTTTAGTCTCCAGATAATAGACTGCGAATTTGTCCCAATGTCCCTTTCTTGAGTTCCTATGAGGTTTTTTGCTGAATGCCTTCGACAGAGATCTAGGATATTATCTTTCGGGGATCTTAGAAAGAAGACTCTTTCATGTCCTTGTTTTATGGTTACACAACCAAATCAAAATCATATTCCTTATAGAACCAATACCTACCCAGATGTGTTAGGAAGGACCTACACGATCGAATAATATAAGTCTTTAGAGCAAGAAGCCTACCAGATCGATCTGAGTAGTACTCATGTTATTATCTAATAGGTACTTTATAAATGCCGTCCACGATCACCATATCTGGAACCGTTACCAAACACACTTATATACTGCTAATCACATCATTTTGCGAGATAAATATTGAAACGTATAATTATTGCTGTGAACCCATTTCTATTTTCATTCACTGGCGATGTCGATGATTGCTTCCTCCGTTTTGATGATTGCTGCGCCACATTCATCGTTTGCGCGGTATTATAATCCATTTTGCTTTTTTATATTCCATATGAGCTAAAATACAATACAAACATTTCGAAAAAAGAACAATTATTTGCCTACTTGCCGTTCAAATAGAATGGCAATAATTTGTTTATAACTGTTATTTATTTATTTGCGTATGACTAATATTGTATTTGTTGTTTTTTTTCGCTTTTTTTTGTTAATAATTGTTATTATCGCAAATTATAACAATCGTGTATACATACATTATATAATAATACCAATAATACTTTTGATTTTTATCAATTTATTGATAAAAGAAAAAAAAGTGGAAAATAAAAACAAAATTATTGATAATAAACGATTTACAATTGAGCACACATGGAAATGCCAAATTTGTAGGAGATATGAATTTCGGAGGTATTTTTACTTGTTCTTCAGCGGTATTTGAATACATACCCTGTATTTAAAAATGCTTGATATGTAGGCAAGCAGCTGTCTTTTATGATGACAACTTCACTTGGGCCCATAAAGGTCTTTATCCTGAAAGATCAGTAAAAGTAGTCGAATTTTTGGAACCTGGATTTAGAACCAGATTTGCAGAACAAAACATGTGCATCTTTTACAGCAACAGCTTCCGACAGCTTCTTTATGTTGTTCAGAAAAATAAAAAATCAGGTCGATGTCCTAGGGTCGCTAGTCGTCAGGACTTGGGTGCATATATCATTTGATAGGGGCAAAACGTGCCTCATCGAATAAAGGTTTTAGACCCTAGGGCTCTTTGGACCAAATCCGTTTCCGTCCGTCTGGCAGACTGGCGCGCACGATAATTTTCGAAGGGAGAAACCGATTTGATCCAAACTCGATACATCGTAATATTATTGTCCAACTTAGATCGAGTTCGGAGATCGACAAATGTCGGTCCACTTCTTCTGGTACCTCCCCCACAAAATGTCAATATTTTTAAAGAAAATAATTTACTGCACAGAACCTGAAAGTATAATCCGATTTTGCTCCAACATTGCAAATCCTAATATTCGCATCAATGCCATTCAGTACCTCCCTCACAAAGCGTCAACATTTTGAATAATTATTGCTCTAATAAAATGCTATGTAAGTTTTCGATTGTCTTCAAATTACACGTATTACAATATTTTTATTAAACCAAGGTCTGGTGTGAAGATGGAATACATCGGTCTACTTCTTCTGGTCCCTCCCCCACAAAGGGCCAAATTTTTGAATATTCATGAAGCTCATAAAACACGATATTAACATCCGATTCCATTCAGACTTGGTACATCCTAATATTTCTGTAAACACAAGATCTGTTATAAAGATGGTAGAGATCGGACCGTTTCTTCTGGTACCTCCCCCACATAGGGTTCACGATTTTTTTTGAAAAACAAAACGCTCAAAGAAAGCGAAATAAGCATCCAACACTCTTCAAATTTCACACATCCAATTATTTTTGCTAACGCAAGATTTGTTGTAAAGTTTCATATAAATGTCGGAAATAGCATCAAATTTTAGAATAAGTCTAGATTTGCTCGAATTGGTCATTTTTGCACGAATTATGTCCATCAAATGTCCAATAAAACCGTCACACGCTGCCCGAATATTCCTCTGCGGCATTTTGGCCCATTACCGGCGAAGCGCTTGCTTGAGGTGATCGACAATTTGGTATTTTTAGTGCCAACCTTGCTTTCCAAAATACTCCAGACACAATAGTCCAACGGATTGGTATCCGGAGATTTTGGTGGCCATTGTGCGCTGGAATTGAAGCGAGGAATCTCATTTTGTAACCATTTATGAATGGCGCGTGCTTAGTGCGATGGTGCTGAGTCCTATTGGAATGTCCAAGGTCTGCGGCAAAAATGTTTGCGTGCCCAAGGCTTTAATACACCCTCCATAATATTTCCGCGATAATATTCGGCATTTATTCTGACGCCACGGTCCATTAATACGAGCGAAGAGCGACCATCGGCTGTTATGGCGGCCCACATAACAAGGCCGGCGCTTGAGCTCTGGTGGCCAACCGAAAGTGCACATTTTCAGCTGACCTCTTTGGCAAGTAAACACTATCATTTTGTTTGTTTACTGCTGGACAACGAATGTTTTCTTATCGGAGAGGAGAAAACCAAATTCGGCAGTTTACCACTTTCGGCCAAGCGAAGCCACTTATTAGCTCTTTTGAGTCTATTTTCTTTCTGTTGCGGTGTAAGTTCTGGCACTTTTTGGAATTTCAATGGCTTTACCCCGAGCTCGTTTTTCAATAGTTGCCGAATGGAATATTGCGGTATGTTCAGCTGACGAGCCATTTTTCGGTCGCTGCGACGCGCGTTACAATTAAGTCTCTTCTTTACTTTTCCAACCATTTCTGCTGATGTAGCTGTTTTTTCCGTCCGCTACCTTGACATCGGGCTATGCTAACGAGCGATGGTACTAGACACAAAAGATTTGCTCACATTTAAATGCTGGAGTGCTTTAACGATAGCCACATGTGGTTTCCAGTCAAATATAAAGAAATCACACTATCACGCCTGAATTCCATCACGAATAACTTTTTTTCTGGAAAATTCTCACCAAAATGCTTTTGTAAGCTTGTAAACAATATAATGAGCTGTCACTGGAATAATTTTAACAGCTGTCGGATGAGTGGCTTAGAAATGACAGCAGTCTGAAGTTGGTTGCATTTTTTATCTCACCCTGTATATCTGTCAACCCCTTCTGGTACCTCACCCACAAAGAGTGCCAATTATCAATACTTTTATCTGTCATAACTTGCGAAACAAGTCAGAGATTCAATTTATCTTGCTATGTCTAAATATTTCTCTCAACCAAAATTCTGGGATGAATATGGAATTTATGTTTTCGCATAAAATTGATTATAAATGTTCGATTTCCTTAAAATTTTGCCAATGCCAATATTTTTATCTGTAGTATGAAAATGGAATACTTGTCTCTACTATATTCATATTTCCACATTTTCTAAAAATCTGCACATAATACATATAAAGAAGAGGGTATTAGTCGATATAGTCCAAACTTGGCACGTCGCAATATTTATTTCATATTTATTTAGGACCGATACGAAATCGACAATATTGGCACATTCTTTCGGAACTTACTCCATAAAGGGTCAACAATTTGAATAATCATAACAGAAGTCAAAATATATTTAAACAATCGAACATTGTCTGAGCGTATACAACTGTCGGCTAAACCGGTTGATACTTTTTAAATTGCTCAATGGAATTTTGACAAAATTGGTGTTTGGAGTTCGCAATGGGTCCCATCTTCTCTGCCGGAAAATTGTCCACATTTTCGTATAGGAATCAATGGAATAAAACCAGTCCATATTTGGTATACTGACGACTTTAGCCAAATTTTCTACGGATTTTTCTTTGCAATTTGGTATTGAAATTTTCCAATAACAGATGTAATACCATTCCCGTGCCCCACTGGTGGATGTTAAGATATCCTTGTTTATAACTTCCCTTCCTTTTTTTCAATTTGACTTACTTTTTATACCCTACACCACAAGGTGGTCAGGGTATTATGTCTTTGTGCATTTGTTTGTAACAGGCAAAAGGAAACGAGATAGACCCATAGTTCCTTTTGATGATCTGCATAGAATCACATTCTGAGTCGATTTATGCATGTCCGTCCGTCCGTCTGTCCACGTATTTTTGTAAACAAAGTACAGATCGCATTTATTGCCCGACCCAGAGGAAATTTGGCCCAAATTATTTGTTGTGCCAAAGGACGAACCCTGTTGAAATTGGAGATAATCGGTCAAAATTTTAGATACAGCTCCCATAAATATCTTCATCCGATTTGCCTTCTATTGTGCACCAAACGTGTAATATCAGCCCGAATAGTATGGAATTTTGCATATACACCCTAAAAATAAGTATGCCAAATTTGATCGAAATCGGTTCAGATATAGGTATAGCTCCCATATATATTGTTCATCCGATTTGTTATATTTGTTACCCACAGCCGTAATATGCACTCCGTAACAACGATATTCAGGGAAATATATCAAATACAGCTCAGAAATATCTTTGTCAAATTCTATCGAGATCGGTTCCGATTTGGATATAGCTTCCATATATATCTTTATCCGATTTCAAATTAATAGTGCACCAAATGGGCAATAAAAGTCCGAATTTAAAAGATACAAATCCTTCGACATATTTAGTCCCTTGAACCTTAAATTATAATTATAATCATAGCGTGTATGATTGAATTCTCCCATAAAAACTTTTAATTGTTATCTGGAGCTCAACTAAATTAGCAAAGTGGTGGAGGGTATCTTAAAGTCGGCCCCGCCCGACTTTAAGGCTTTCTTTACTGGTTTCTTATATTCAAACAAAAATATTTTTTATTATTAGTTTAGTTTAGTTTAGGTTTTTTTTTTTTAATATTCACACTCTCTAATCACATTCTCTTTTTCTTTCTTCCCTCTAATCGCTTCACTTCAGGTTTGCAAAAAATGCCCAGAAATGCTGCAAAGAAAGCGAATAAAAATACAAAAAGTCTTCCGATATCAGTGAAGTTTCTAACAACAAAAGTTAATAATAAAAAGAAAAGAAATCTTAACAACAAGAGCAAACACAACAACAACAAAAAGACGAAAAAGAAGAAGAACCTAAACAATAGCGATACAAATAAACATAATCAAAAGCAAAAGGAATCACAGCAACAACAACAACGCGGCCAAAAACGTAAGAAAGCGCTAAAACAACCTGCAAATGCTAGAATAGTAACCGAATCTACTTCCACTAGCTTTGCTGCTGATAACAACGATGCTGATGACGACGATTGTGATGCTAATTCCACAACAGCAGTAACACCTTTAACAAGACCAACTGCAGCAACAACAACAACAGCACCCACAGAAAGGTGTAAATTCACAATTAATTCACAAGACTTAAAAGTTTTATCGTCGTCAACGACGTCGTTTTCGTCTGGTCTCAGCCAAACAACGCTGTCATCAAATCGCTCAAGCGTTAACACTGTGGATGCTGATCAAACTTGTGGTGTTGGTGGTGGTGGTGTGAAACACAGTCCAGCAACTGCTACCAGTCAACGAGGAGTAGAGAAGCAAAAACCCCAGCAACAACAAAATACCATTTTAAAATATTTGAAAAATCAAAGAAATTCCAAAAATAATTTAGGAGACAACAACGCTGACGACGTTGTTGGTCTTGGATCTGCTGAGGAAACGTCCAACATAGACATTCATAATAATAAGGAGAAGGATAAAGTGCAAGTGGCAACAACAACTTTATTGTCAATTACAACAGCAACAGAAATATCAGTAGCTGCAGCATCATCTCCAGCATTGCCGCTGGCAACAACAACAACAGCAACAAACCAACGTCAATGTCGTTTATCTACATTGTATCCCATTGTTATTGAAACTCATATATCAGAAAGTCAAAGTTTGGCCGGAGAGGTCAAAACAACAACCCCTACCACAGCAGCAGCAACAACAACAAAACATTCCATTTCAAATACAAATACAACTGGAAATTGTTCAACAAATTCTGCAATTGTTTTGAAAACAAGTGATACAACAACTGCACTTGACACCACATTATCGAAACAAACAGCAGGCGCCGACGACGCCACCAAACAAATATTGCAAAATAAATCGCCTTCGCCGCAGCAGCAGCCAGCGAAACGTCGCAAACGGCGTTACTTCCATCAGCCACACGAGGTTAAAGCCCGTTTAGATAGTTTAAGGACAAGAAAAGCTCCCGGCGACACAGAACAGCAGCAGCAAAAAACACAGCAGGAGCAACAACAACAACAGCCACACAAAGTTGACAAAAGTTTAGAGATTTCACAAAAATCCACTGCTCTTGTACAGGACATCGCTAAACAGCAACAGCAACAACCAGAAGCTGGCAATAAATATAAATTCTTACAAGCGCCGGATACGGAAGAGACATCAAGGAAAAGAGGTAAATATAATTTTTTTTTTTTTTTTGGAATAACAACAACAACAACACTTAGAAACATAGTATATACCCATTACATTGCATTTCATGTAGAATCGGTATTGGAAATGATTCGATTTAAATGGTGGGGAAGGAAATTTTTTTTCCATTTTACATGAAAAGATCAGAGTGTCTGACTTCTACAGGAGATGGAAAGAGATTTTGTGCAGACAATCAAAATGCCTTTTTATACCCTCCTCCACCGGTTGTAACACCTCTAAACAGACCACATTATTTGACGCAGAGTTTCAATTTTGTATTGTGTCTAGGATGGTGGGTATTGCAAATGAGATATTTCCGTCATAGCCTGTTTTCGGTATTTTGATGAGTTTTGCATAATCTTTCCACGGATTTGTATAAAAATTTGTATTTGTAGTTCGTAATGGTTTCTAGCTCCCGTGGCGAAACATTGTAGGTATAGGTCAACGTTTTTGTATATCCCCTATATAACGGCAACTCCCGATATTCGGTATTTCTATGATTTTTGCCATATTTTTCCACGGATTTGTCTAAAACTTGTTATTTCTAGGTCAAATTGGTGTTCTAGCTCCGGTGGCGAAACATTGTATGCATAGGTCCACCTTTTTGTAAAGCCCCCATATAACAGCACCTCCCGATATTCGGTATTTTTGCCATATTTTTCCACGGATTTGTCTAAAACTGGATATTTCTAGGTCAAATTGGGGTTCTAGCTTCGGTGGCGAAACAATGTATGCATAGATCCACGTTTTTGTATATTCGGTATTTCTATGATTTTTGTCATATTTTTCCACGGATTTGTCTAAAACTTGGTATTTGTATCAGCGTCTCGAATCAGGTTCTTCCTGGTTTTGGTCCCGTTTATTGGCCATTTTTTCAGTTCTCTAAGTTTCAGGGCGCACCTGACTGTTTATTTCTCTAAAAACAGACTTAAGGGATAAAGGGGCTCTTGAAGTTTTATCACTATATAACACTTGTAGCACCTGACCAATACAACCTGACCAATACGACCACATTTAGTTGATGATCGCGAACAGTATCGAGATATTTGGCTTCTGAGGATAGGCTTAGCGTAACTTCATCTAACATTGGTGGTAAAAACCATTCTCTCGACGTGGCCAACGACGTCGTGCTTCGCTGTCTCAGCGGATTTGCCCTTTATGTAGGTGCGCTGACCAATGAGCGGTCGGAGGTAGTGGGGATCTGATTTCAACATCAATTAACCTTTCCTGGGGTTTTAGTAGAAAGGAGGAAAGACTTATAGATCTGCAGTCCTGAACTGTGCTTATTGAGGTCGGAGGTATAAGAGATCTGATTTCAACATCAATTAGCCTTCCTAGGGTAGTGACAGTGTCTTCACTCCACAGTATCGAAATGTACGAAGGACGTAGAGAAGCCTAAAAATCTCCTGCAGACTGGACAATCTTGCGATCTGATCAAGGTGATTGGATTTGGAAGGGTTTGAAAGTGCCGATAGCCCACTAAATTTTGGGGATACCATCAATCAAGTTCACATCCTCAGCAATACATTGGCAATTCCGTTCATCGAGTTATCGATCAATTATCGCATCTGTATAGTTTAAGAAGTAAGTGCTGGCTACCAAACGAGAAGTCTCTAGACCGGAGTCAGTTCACGTATAATTTCCACTCTTTATACATTCAAGGGAATTAGGATCCTTTGAAAGGAATTTGTGGCATCTGGAGGTATGATTATCATTCCTTATTGGCTTAGTGAAGCAGGTCCATCTACTTGTTAAAAGCAGCCTAATAGGCTTCCCAGCACGTGCGTTTTTTGGCCTCGTTGGCTCTATTGTACAACATCCTGCTTACTTTCCTTAACTTGTCTAAGTGTTTGGACCACCATACTGGTAGCAAATTCTTGCCTGGGATGATAAGCGGACAAGATTTATCATGTCACTTGTTATGACATTTCCAAAGTCGTTTATCTCTAGGGCTGAGGTTAAGGCATGTCATTCATAAGGTTTAGTCTGGAGAATATAGACTCTGCGAGTTTTTTTCCCAATGCGACTTTCTTGGGTTTCTATGTGGTTTTAGATGAATGCCTTCGAAAGAGATCTGGAATACTATCTTCCAGTGATCTGAGATGGAACACTCAGAGGAAACCTTCCAGTCCAATATAAACGATTTATCCCTGGTAGTAAGAGTGAGAACAATGACCTCCTTCCTGTCCTTGTTTCGCGTCATGATCCCGGTTTTATATTTTGAGATTGTACTTGAGAATAAAATCAAGGATGGTCTCACCTATGACATGGAATTTCTTGGGACGCAAGAGTTAGAAAACTTCAATTTTCTGAAAAGCCATCCCAATTAGTAGGGGGAGATCAATGAACTCCTCCCTGTTCTTGCTTTGAAACGTCGCGTCATTACTCCTGTTACATATTTTGAGATACTTGACAATAAAATCAAAAATGGACTCACCTCTGGCATGGACTCGTTCAAGACACAATGGTTAGAAAACGTCAAGTTTTTGGAAAGCTTTTCAACTGGAGACCGCTCTCGATTCTACGAATTTCGGTTGAGTCAAGAATAGTTACTTTACAGATAATTGGATTTTTCAAAAATCGAATCAGGCTAAATAAATGATAAATGTTTTTACCTGGAGTGTAGCAACACTGTCCATGTTTTATGAAATCTAAATTATTTCTTGATTTGATTTTTGTTATTTTGGCATCCAAGTTCTTGTGTTCTCATAAAAACCCCATTTCATTACAATTGTCATAGATTTTCATTTCAGTATCACATTTGTTTCATTACAATATTCGTTAGATTTTAATTTCAATATCACTTTTTTTATTTTTCTTAATTTCCCAATTTTTACAGAGATTTCAGTTAGAATATCAAAAGCCACGCACCATCCTTTGTTTTGTTATATGACAATAAGGCAGGCAGGCTGGCTGTAATTTGCTAGTAGTACTGAGATTGGTATAAATTCAAGTTTTTTAAAAAACAAAAGAAAATCCTAAATCCAAACAGAAAACAAAAGGTATGTTTATTCTAACTGTGATGTCCTGTTCAATTCAATTCAATATCTATCTATAAGCATCAAATGTGCATCACTTTGTCACTAACAAAATGCAATCGGAAAATATTCACCACCAAAAAATGGGATAACATTCTCAGCTCAAAACTAACCTTAAAGGAAAAAAATGCCAATCACAAGCAATGGTGCATGGTTTTGGATTCATCCAAATTCTAACTTCATTATTCATAAATTTATGTGCTAATACAATAACATTTCATTTAGATATTAGTAAGGGTTAGTCGAGGAGAGGGTATTTTGACGTGGATTATTAGACCAATAATTTTGGTTTTTTAAGAATACTTTCCAAGAAATATAAGGTTCAAACACACCAATATAAAACAATGATATATATATATAGGAACGTTATCGATTCGGGATTTAAAATGTCCCTTTACTTACTTCAATACCAAATTCGGAACTAAGGATACCGTCTTGATCTGCATCCATAATTATGCCCTCAGCCATATGCCCTTTATATCATTAGATGCGGCCAAAACGAAATATGGGGTTAGACTCTTCGGACCAAATTCGTTTCAGGACATTTTGAGTCGATCTAGCGATGTCCGTCCGTCTGTCTGTCTGGCTGGTGCGCACAATAACTCTCGAAGGTTGTATCCGGTTTGATCCAAACTTTGTACATCGTAATGTTATTATCAAACTTAGATCGAATTCGAAGATGGGCAATATCGGTCCACTCCTTCTAGTACCTCTCCCACAAAATATTAAAATTTTCAAAGAAAATAAATTACTGCACAGAAATAGAAAGGATAATCCGATTTTTCTCCAACTTTGCAAATCCTAATATTTGCATCAGTGCTAGGTCAGGTGCGAAATTGGACAATATCGGTCCACTCCATCATGTACCTCCCATACAAACGGTGAAAATTTTGAATATCCATGAAGGCTATAAAACATGAAGTTACCATCCGATTCCATTCAGACTTGCACATCTCAATATTTCTATCAACACAAGATCTGTTATAAAGATGGTGGAGATTAGACCATTCCTTCCGGTACCTCCCCCACAAAGGGTTAAATTTTTGAATAATCAAAACGATCATAAAATCCGAAATAAATATCCGATTCTCTTCAACTTTCACACATCACAATATTTTTATTAACCCAAAGTCTGGTGTGAAGATGGAATATATCGGTCCACTTCTTCTGGCACCTCCCCCACAAAGGTTAAAATTTTTGAATATTTGTGAAGGCTATAAAACATGAAGTTACCATCCGATTCCATTCAGACACATCTCAATATTTCCATCAACACAAGATCTGTTGTAAAGATGGTAGATATCGGACCATTCCTTCTGCTACCTCCCCCACATAGGGTTAAAATTTTGAATAACTAAAACGATCATAAAATTCGAAATAAGCTTCCCACTCTCTTCAAATTACACACATCACAATATTTGTATTAACCCAAGGTCTGGTGAGAAGATGGAATATATCGGTCCACTGCTTCTGGTACTTCCCCCTCAAAGGGTCAACATTTTGAATATTCATGAAAGCTATAAAACACGAAATTACCATCCGATTCCATTCAGACTTGGCACATCGCAATATTTCCATCAACACTAGATCTGTTATAAAGATGGTAGAGATCGGGCCATTCCTTCTGGTACCTCCCCCACAGAGGGTTAAAATTTTGAATAACCAAAACGATAATAAAATCCAAACTAAACATACGGTTCTCTTCAAATTGCACACATCACAATATATTTATTGACCCAAGGTCTGAGGTGAAGACGAAATATAACGATCCACTCTTTCTTGTACCTCCCCCACAAAGGGTCAAAATTTTGAATATTCATGAAGACTATAAAACGCAAAATTAACATCCGTTTCCATTCAGACATGGCACATCTCAATATTTCCATCAACACAAAATCTGTTATAAAGGCGGTAGAGATTGGTCCGCTCCTTCTGATACCTCTTCCGCACAAAGGGTTAAAATTTTGAATATTCATTAAGTTCATAAAACGCGAAATTAACATCCGCCTCCATTCAGACTTGGCACATCTCAATATTTCCATCAACACAAGGTCTTTTATAAAGATGGTAGAGATCCGACCATTCCCTCTGGTACCTCACCCATAAAGTGTTAAAATTTTGAATAACTAAAACTATCATAAAATCCGAAATAAGCATCCGGTTCTCTTCAAATTACACACATCACAATATTTTTACTAATCCAAGGTATGGTGTGAAGCTGGAATATATCGGTCCACTCCTTCTGGTACCTCACCCACAAAGGGTCACAATTTCCAATACTTATATCTGCTGTCATATAAATCTGTCGGCAAACCCGACTGATACTATTTAACCTGTTTATAGTGCCTTTAAAGTATCTTCCTGGAAGACCAGTTCATAATGCTACAACCATCTAAATTTCATAGAGAGCTTTAATCGTTTATGTTTGCTTAAGGTCGTTATGTCGGAATGTCCTTGTCCTTCTTTCGTTAGGTCATATGAGGACACATTATCATTGTGTGGTTTTTCTTCACACCCTGTGTAATATATGTTCATATCTCCCCATTCAACACACTCATACAAACACACATCATTGATTTTTCATATCCTCATATTTTTCTTAAAACATACACACACACACACCACATTTTCTCCTTTTCCCCTCGCCCCTCCACCATATGTATGAATGGATGGATGAATGAGTCATTCATTAATCAAATTACTTTACATTGATTTTCAATTTTTCCCATTTTTGTTCTTCTTCCACACTTGTTTTTTTTTTCTTTTGTAGTATTTCCAATACTTGATGTGGCAACATTGAATCGCATTGAGACCTTGAGCGATAACGAAGTTAAGAAACCTGCCAGCAAGCGAAAACGTAGCCAAACAGCTGCCCTATTAGGATTTAATATACCAACAACTTTACGTTCGCGACGTGTTACAGCAACAGCCCAGGCAGCGGTTATTGTTGCGGCAGCAGCAGCTGCTGCAGCGGCCAGTGCAGCAACAAGTGGCTGTGGCATTGGTGTTGGTTTGAGAACAACACCCTCTATTGCTGGTGGTGGCGGTGGAGGAGGTCTAGTGGTACAAAAACGCCAACAGCAATTAGCAGGCGGTGGTGATTTTCTAAAACCCCTACCCATTGAAGCAGGAATTACGAATTCCAAAAAACGGCCACGCATTATGTCTCTCTATGAGCGTCCCTATCAAACGGCCAATGATGGTCGAGGTGGTAGTTCGAGCCTGGTCAGCAATGGCTATATGTCAACAAGTCGTTCCAGTTCATCGGGTGGTGCTGGCATGCCAATGATTATGAGTGACTCGAATGATAGTCAGGACATGACCAATGCATATTATCTAACAGGAAACAGTGGTTCCGGCATTGCAGGCAGTTCCAGTGCCTCATCAGCAGCGGCAGCAGCATTACTCGGCAATGGTGGTGGCGTTGGCATTGCCCTAAATCATGCCCCCACCATGGGTACCCTGTGCAACATTGGCAACACCTGCTATCTTAATTCGGTGGTGTATACCCTGCGTTTTGCTCCACAATTTCTGCACAATCTCCATCACCTGTTAACGGATTTGAATGCCCTGCAACAGAACATTGCCCGGGCGCGTTCAAAATCGTCTTCCTTGGGCCGCGGCATAAGTGCTGTGCACATTGAAAATGCTCGCAGTTGGAGTAGCAAAGATTTAGCCTCCATGGAACAATATGCTGGCAGCAATGCAGCCCCGAATCCCATTGTGAATGCATCGACACCATCATCCGGACCGTCATCATCCTCAGCTCTGTCGCAAGTCACCCAGAAGAGCAGCCATCAGATATTGACGGAAAAACTGCATGAGCTCTATCAGAGTTTGTATCGCAATGAAATGAGCGAGTCCATGGAACCCTATCATGCCGATACCCTGCTGCATGCCATCCAAGATGTGAGCAGCATTTTTGAGGGCAATCAACAACAGGATGCCCATGAGTTTTTAATGTGTCTGCTGAACAGTATTAGGGAAACAAATCAGACTCTAATCAAGGCCATAGCGGAATGTCCAGATGTGATATTAAATGGGTAGGTCACCTAATTTGTTGCCTTCAAAAATATCTTTCTCCTATCTAATCTGTTGTTTTGTGGTTGGTCTTTACAGATATATTTCCAATCCCGAGGATACCGAACGTGATATTAAACAATCCAATAACAGCACCAGCAGCAGTGGCGGCATCATCAGCAACAGCAATCACATTTCTGTCACCTCAGCCCTTAGCTCGCTAACATCCAACTCCAAGTCATCGTCGTTTTTCTCGCGCAAATCCAAGCGAAAAGATGAAACAAAAAATTCCAAAAATTCCCGCCTTCAATCTCCGCTTAAAGATAACCAAATAGCTGGCAATATAACGCCTCAATCGAATAGTCTATTCTATTTGAATACGAATGATCTCAATTCAACGGCGGCAGCGGGAGTAACATCTACATCGCCACCATCCGCAGGAGGAGGAGTGGGTGTTTCCGTGGCGACCGGAGGTGGATCATCCTCATTGGCATCTCCATCGAATTCAACTGCGACGACGGCCGGCAATGGTGGTGATGAATTAGATGCTGCCGGCGCGTCCTCCTCCTCCAATTCGACGGCTGTGTCTCTACTGCTCAAGGATAAACAACGTTTGGAGAGTAAAATACGTGAATTGGGTTTGGATTTCTTCAATGATGACTTCGAGGGCATAACCGTGTCGACAACCAAATGTCTTAGCTGTGAAACAATAACGGAACAAAAAGAAACAATGATCGATATTGCTGTACCTGTTCCGCAAGCGGGTTACGAGAGCAACGAATACAATACAGATAGGCCGAGTTCGTTTATACAGGTTTGTAGATTTATGGAGATGTTCTCTCTTTGAGATATTCCCATTTTATGAGGGGTGTATCACAGAGAATGTATTTTATATAGTCCTAGGTCGTTAGGCACCTAATTTATCGGAAGTTCTCCCAGTCCATGTCATGTGAATTAATAAGGAATTTGTTTAAGTACTCCCAGGTCTTTAAGCGTCCATGTTTTCAGAACATTATTTAATGCACTCTAAGGCCTTCAAACGTCGAGTAATATATATATTCGAATAGTCGACAATAAAGTTATTTGTAGGAAACCTACCAGCCCATTAAATGTGGGTTTATGAGGAACATTTTTGACGTATTCTCAGTCTGTTAAATGTGGAAATTTATGGAATTATTTTTGAATTACTTAAAGGCCTTTAAACGTGAATCTTAAAATAATTTCTTTAAAGAATTTCCAGGTCAATAAACATGAATTTTAAGAGGCTTTCTTTCAAACAGGCCATTAAGATTAGATTTCAGAAATCTTCAAGTCAAGTGCTTGCAGACCATTTACCGTGGACTTTAAAATACCTTCATTCAAGTACTTCCAGACAATCAAACGTTGATTTTAAAATACTTTCTTTCAAGTACTTCCAGACAATCAAACGTTGATTTTAAAGTACCTTATTTCAAGTACTTCTAGTTTATTTAACATGGATTGTGAAAGACTTTTTTTAAACGTCGATATTTATAGAATTGTTTTTGAATTACTTATCCATTAAACTTGGAATACTTTATTTCAAGTGCTTTCAGACCATTTACCGTGGACTTTGAAATACCTCCATTCAAGTACTTGCAGTCAAACAAACTTGGATTTAAAAAGTCTGTTTTTCAAGTACTTGCAGTTAATTTGAAATGGATTTTGAAGTACCTCATTTCAAGTACATCCAGGTGGTAAAACGTGCAGTTTAAAATACATTATTTCAATTGGAAATTAAATATGGACTTTTCTCCAACTACTTCTAGGTCAATAAAAGTGGATTGTAGTAGAATTTCTATTCAGAACTTCCAGAACATTAAAGAAACTTAGTCAAGTACTTTCAGGTCATTTAATGGACATGGATTTAAAAAGACTTTCAAGAACTTACAAGCCAAAAAACATGAATTACTTAAGAGACATTTTCAAGCACTCGCAGGCCATTAAATTTTATTTTTTAAAGATATTTAAAAAAAAACTATCACTTTCAGGCCGTTAAGCGTGGATTTTACAAGACTTTCTTTTGAGTACTTCCAAGGGGGTACTTCACAAAACTTTCTTCAAGTACCTTCAGGCCTATATTCGTGGATTTTAAGACTTCCTTTTAAGTACTTTCAGGACATTAGGCGTGGATTTCAAAAGACTTTCTGTCAAGTACTTCCATGCCTATATTCATGGATTCCACAAGACATTCTTTCCAGAACTTCCAAATCATTAAAAGTGGTTCTTAAAAAGCAATTTATTCAATCACTCTCAGGCAATTCAATGGACATGGATTTCGAAAGACTTTCAAGTACTTCCAGGAAATAAACTCTCAGGCCGTTAAACTTGAAATTTTTAAGAACATTTTTCCATTAACGGATTTTAAAGACCTTACAAAAAGTTTCAGGCCATTAAGCGAGGATTTAAAACACATTCTTTTGCAAGCACAAGTCTCACAGCCCTATAGATTTCAAGAGACTTTATTCAAGTAATTTAGGCCGACTTCCTTAAAATTGAATTGTAAACGATTTTCCTTCAAGTACTCCAACCCATTAAAGGCGGATCTTTATACCCTCAGCCATATTGCTAGAGAGGGTATTTATCATTTGATACGGCCAAAACGTGTCTAATCGAAATAATGGTTTTTAGACCCTCGGTCTCTTTGGACCAAATCCGTTTGGAGTCGATCTAGCGATGCCCGTCTGTCTGGCTGGCTGGTGCGCACGATAACTTTCGAAGGGAGTACCCGATTTGGTCCAAACTTGGTACATCGTAATATTTTTGTCAAACTTAGATCGAGTTCTGAGATGGGCAATATCGGTCACTCCTTCTGTTAAATCCCCCACAAAACGACAAATTTTTCAAAGAAAAAAATTTACTGCACCGAAAGAGGAAGGATAATCCGATTATGCTGCAACTTTACAAATCCTAATATTTTCATTAGTGTTAGGTTAGGTGTGAAAATGGACAATATCGGTTCACTCCATCTAGTACCTCCCCCACAAAGGGTCAAATTTTTGAATAATTATAACTCTTATAAAATGTGATGTACGAGTCCGATTGTCTTCAAATTACACACATCACAATATTTTTCATTAATCCAAGGTCTGGTGTGAATATGGAATATATTGGTCGATCATAAAATCCGAAATAAGCAGCCGGTTCTCTTCATATTTCATACATCGCTTTGTTTCAAGTAACACAAGATTTGTTGTGAAGATGGAATATATCGGTCCACTCCTTCTGGTACCTCCCAAACAATGGCTCAAAATTTTGAATATCCATGAAGCTTATAAAATGCGAAATTAACATCAGATTCCATTCAAATTTGGCACATCTCAATATTTCCATCAGCACAAGATCTGTTATAAAGATAGTAGAGATCGGACCATTCCATCTAGTACCTCCCCCGCAAAGGGTCAAAATTTTGAATAATTATAACTCCCATAAAATGTGATGTACGAGTCCGATTGTCTTCTAATTAACCCAAGGTCTGGTGTGAAGATGGGATATATCGCACCATATCTTCTGGTACCTCCCCCACAAAGGGTCAAAATTTTGAATATCCATGAAGCTCATAAAAAGCTAAATTAACATCCGATTCCATTCAGACCTGGCACATCTCAATATTTCCTTCAACACAAGATCTGTTACAATGATGGTAGAGATCGGATTATATCTTCTGGTACCTCCCCCACAAAGTGTCAAAGTTTTTGGATTACCAAAACGATCATAAAATCAGAAATAAGCATCAGGTTGTTTTACAATTTCACAAATCCCATTATTTCTACAAGCACAAGATTTGCTGTGAAGATGGAATATATAGGTCTACTCCTTATGAAACCTCCCCCACAAAGGTTCAAAGTTTTGAATATCCATGAAGCTCATAAAACGCTAAATTAACATCCGATTCCATTCAGGCTTGGCACATTCAACTATCCATCCATCGACGCAAGATCTGTTATAAAGATGGTAGAGATCGGACCACTTCTTCTGGTACCTCCCCCACAAAGTGTCATAGTTTTGAATAACCAAAACGATCATAAAATCCGAAATTATCATCCGGTTCTCTTCATATTTCATATATCCCATTATTTCCACTAATACAAAATCTGTTGTGAAGATGGGATATATCGGTCCACTCTTTAATATTCATGATGCTCATAAAACGCGAAATTAACATCCGATTCCATTCAGACTTGGAACATCTCAATATTTCCATCAACACAAGATCTGTTATAAAGATGGTAGAGATCGGCCCATTCCTTCTGGAACCTCCCCCACATTGGTTTCAAGAATTTTGAAAACAAATACACATCTAAGTCTCTTCAAATTTCAAACACACACAAACATTTTTGCTAACACAAGATCTGCTGTGAAGATGCTATATATCTGCTAATCCTTTCTGGTGCCTCACCCACAAAGGGTCACAATTTTCAATACTTTTATTTGTCATAACTTGCGAACCAAGTCAGCAATTCTCTACAACTTGGTATTTTTTAGTGCCAACCTTGCTTTCCAAAATACTCCAAACACAATAGTCCAATGGATTGGTATCCGAAGATTTTTGTTGCCATTGTGCGCTGGACATGAAGCGAGGAACCTTATTTTGTAACCATTCTTGGGTGGCGAGTCCTGGGTGCGAAGGTGCTGAGTCCTGTTAGAATGTCCAAGATCTGTGGCCAAAATGTTTGCGTGCCCAAGGCTTTAATACACCCTCCAGAATATTTTCGCGATCATACCACCATCACCATGGCCGGCGCTTGAGTTCTGGTGGCCAACCGAAGGTGCTCATTTTCAGCTAACCTCTTTGGCAAGTAAACACGATCATTTTGTTTGTTTACAAACTGCTGGACAACTGTGGCGAATGTTTTCTCGTCGGAGAAACCCAAATTCGGCAGTTCACCACTTTCGCCCAAGCAAAGCAACTCTTTAGCTCTTTTGGGTCTATTTTCTTTCTGTTGCGGTGTAAGTTCTTGAACTTTTTGGAATTTCAATGGCTTTTCCCCGAGCACATTTTTAAATATTTGACGAATGCCGAATGGAATATTGCGATATATTCAGTTCATGAGCCATTTTTCGGCCACTACGGCGCGGGGGTTTCTTTCTTTTTTACTTTTCGAACCATATCTGCTGATTGTTGCTGCTTTTTTCCGTCCACTTCCTTGACGTCGAGCTATGCTACCAGTATCACGGTAACGAGCGATGGTACGAGAGACACAAAAGATTTATTCACATTTAAATGCTGGAGTGCTCTAACGATAGCCACTTGTGGTTTTCCAGCCAAATATAAAGAAATCACACTATCACGCTTGAATTTCATCGCGAATAACTTTTCGTCTGGAAAATTCTCACCAAAATGCTTTTGTACGCTTGTAAACAATATAATGAGCTGTCAGTGGAATAATTTTAACAACTGTCGGACGATTGGCTTAGAAATAACAGCAGTCTGAAGTTGGTTGCACTTTTTTCATCTCACCCTGTACATTGGTCGGTACAACCAACTGACTGACCGACTTTTTAACTTGTTAGCTACATTTTTAAGAGATATTGTAAACTTTACATATTTTCATTATTTCCTCCTAACCTAATAAATTTTTTTTCATATCGCCTTCAGAACTCTTGCATAACAAGTGAACGTTTTCGCAACGAAAACAAATATCGCTGTGAACAATGCTGTGGTTATACCGAAGCTATACGATCTATATCCTATGAGGTCTTGCCACGTTTGTTAATCATCCAACTGAGTCGTTTCTCCGGTGGCATGGAGAAAATCAACAGCTACATTCCCACATCATTTACGTTGCAATGTTTTTGTTCGAAATGCTGTGAACTGAGCGATGCCAACAAGTTGCACATCTACAAGCTGTACAGTGTTATTACGCATGTGGGCGCCACCATGTCTGTGGGCCATTACATTGCCTATACCTGTTCTTTGGACTGGGCCAATGAATACATTAACTGTCCTAAAGAGCAGCGGCGAAGAGCTAGTCAAGAGAGAGCTGCTGCAGCGGCGGCGGCGGCTGCTGCCATGAATGGCAGCGGTGGTACGACATTAACATCAAATCCCATGCAGCAGGCGGGTTCAACATCGTCCACAACGAATGCGAATAATGTGGGCTCCTCCAATAATTCATCGTCCTCCTCGGGTACAACAAGTTTTATGAAAATTATGAAATTTGGACGCAGCAAAGCTTCGAGCAGCGGAGATATGAGTAAACATGTTAAGCATCTGAATGGCCTGACATCTAGTGGTGGCAGTGGCAGTGGCAGCGGCAGCGGTGGTGGCAGTAAGGCCATTACAAATGGTATTGGTAAGTTAAGTATGAATAATACAAATTCCGCCGGCGGAACATCATCAGCAGCGTCGTCATCAGCCTCAGCGTCTTGCGCATCGTCAACGACATGTCCCAGCATTAATTGTTGTGCCATGCGTCTGACGGCCCAACAACAAATGCACTATGTCCATGCGAATCAACAGAATAACATCAATGATTTCAACGAGGACTCCAGTGGCTATACGAATGGTGTGACGTCGTCGGGTTATTCTTCTTCGAACTACAACAACAATATGCAGCAACAGCCTCCCTACAACAGTGGCAGTAGTAATAATTCATCGGGCTATGGTAGTACTGGTCGGTCCGGCACCAAGGCCTCGTATGCCTCCTCACAACAACAGCTACACAACGGCTCCGAACCGATATGGTATATGTGTGATGATGACAAAATCAAGGCAATGACCCAGCGAGAATTCGAGGAGCTCTTATCGCCGGCCAGAAAAATAACAATTACACCATATTTGTTATTCTATGCCCGTTATAATCTGCAATCCTCCTCACCACCCAAATCGGCGGGATCGTCATCATCGCCCGGCCCCGTAACATCATCGCCGCAGGCTTCATGGTCCAATGAGAGTTTGCAAAGTTCGGGTCACAGTGCCCACAGTAGTGGTATGCGTATGTGAGGTATAATGATGACAGCAACGGGAAAACTTAAATATAAGAGCAATACATTGATGAATAGTAATAATAATAACAATTATAATAATAATAACAACAACAACAGCAGCAACAACAATAGTAACCATGCAAGTAAAAGCCTGATAAAATGCAATTGTAAAGAGCAGGTAATTTAAGTTTTTATTAGTGATGCAAGTAAAAGAAAACACACACACAGAACAAAAGTTTCAAAAGAACAAAAAAGGCAACAACATGTGAATGTAAAAAATAAGAAAAATATTGACCCCATAAAGTATGCAACAAATTTTGTTTTGCCCCCATAATTCGCTGTAACAAAAAGAAACTCATACCCAAATACTCTTTTATGTGAGTCTTGGCGCAGAAGGTTGTATTCCAGCACGTTTTGGTGGATGGATCAAAAAATCAGGCCTCAATGTGGTCGTATGAGTTCCGCAAAGACTCCCATTAAGAATAAAACCCTGGCAAGAAAAGCTTTTAAATTCATTAATTTGGCCATGGAAACCTTTCAAAGGCTTTCCCTCAATAAATTGCTAGAAAAACCTTTAAACGTAGCATAGTTGGCGATATAGTTCTTTGAAGTTTTCTAAGCATTTCAAGGATTTTCTCTTGCCAGTAGAAGCCTATCGAGGACTTTCTCCTCCTGACAGAAAAACTTCAAAGGCATTTTTTTGTCGGTAGGAGACGTTCAAGTGCTGCCTTCTGTTCTCAAGGACTATCTGATGTTCTTTCCTTCCCCCCATTAAGAATGAAACCCCTGAAAGAACTTATATTAAAGAATAATAATTTTTAAATGTCTTCTACTGGCTATGGAAACCTTTCAAAGGCTTTCCCTCAATAAATTGCTAGAAAAAAACTTTAAACGTAGCATAGTTGGCGATATAGTTCTCTAAAGCTTTCTAAGCATTTCAAGGATTTTCTCTTGCCAGTAGAATCCTATCAAGGACTTTCTCTTTCCGATAGAAAAACCTTCAAAGGCGTTCTTTTGTCGGTAGAAGACTTTCAAGGGCTTTCTGTCTTCAAGGTTTATCTTATGTCCTTTCCTTCCTCCAATAAGGAATGAAACCCCTAAAAGAACTTCTATTAAAAATAGAATTTTTAAATTTATTCTATTGGCCATGGAAACCTTTTAAAGGCTTTCCATCAAGAAATTCTTTTGAAAAAGAAAGATTCTCTTCCCTTTCTATTGAAAAAAGAGGCCTAAAAGTTAAGGGCTTTGATTGATAGAAACCTTTAAAGGTTACATAATTGGCGATATAATTCGTTAAAGGCTTCTAAGCATTTCCAGGACTTCCCCTAACCAATAGAAGCTTTTCAAGGACTTTCTTTTTCCGACAAAAAACCTTTAAAGGCATTCTTTTGTCGGTAGGCGAACTTCAAGGGTCATTTGTCGTTCTTCCTATTGCTAATATACGTCTTTCAATGGCCATCTATTGTCGATAAAAGCTCTTCAAGGACCACCTATTGTCCATGGATACCCATTAAGGGTAGACTACCTTCTAGAGTCATATATATTTTCATAAACAACCTTTAAGGGTCATCTATTGTCTGTAGACTCCCATCTAGAATCATTTATTTTCCATAGATGTCCTTCAAAGTCCATATATTGGCAATAGAGTGCTTTTTAGCGGCATCGACTGCTAACAGACGCCCTTCATGTACCATCTACTGCCAATAGAACCCTTTCAAGGGCCATCTATTGCGAAGAGATGTCCTTCAAATGTCACCTACTGTCAATAGACGCTTTTTTGCCGAATCTTTTGTGCTTACACACCTTTCAAAGGCCATATATAGTCATGCCAATAAACTTCCTTTAAGCGCCTCCTTTTGCTAAAATACGCCCTTCATGTTTCATCTATTGGCGATAAAAGTCCTTCAAGGGTGCCCTATTTTCAATAGACTCCCTTTAAGCACCTTTCAGCTTTCAAAGGCCATATTGCCATGCCAGTAGACTTCCTTTATGTTTCATCTACTGCCGATAGAATTCTTTCAAGAGCCCCCTATTTTCAATAGAATCCCTTAAAGCGCCATATATTTTCAGTAGACCCCCCTCTAGGGTCATCTATTCCCACAGATGTCCTTTAAAAGCCATATATTTTCAATGGACTCTCTTTATGCGCGTCCTAATGACATCAGAAGCCCTTCTTGTTCCATTTGTTTTTAAAATATATTACCTTCAAGAGCCACCTACTGCCAATAGACTCCATTTAAGTGTAATCGATTGCCGAATCGATGATATTCAATCGCCATATATTGCAGATAGAAGCCCTTCAAATTCCACCAATTGCCAATAGACACCCTCTAAGGGGGGTATCCTATTGTAAGTAGACTCCCTTTAAGTGCCACCCATTTGCAATAGATGTCCTTCATGTTCCATTTGCTGAAAATATATGCCCTTCAAATGCCATCTAATGCTAAAAGAACTTTTATTTATTTACAAAAATATATTTTTTATTTTTATAAAGATATTGGTGACGTGGGAAATAGAAGATTGTGGGAATAGAGGAAGATGTGAAGAATTGACTATGAATTTTTTAATGCATTTATTTAATTCTCTTTTAGAAGGGTATCTAAGGTAGAAGGTCTTGTATTTCCATTAGAATGCAATTAAAAGGGCGTCTAATTTGAAAAGGCTGCTTAAAAAGGGCTTTTTCCATTAAAGATTTTCTAAAGTCGTTTATTTACAGTAGAGGTCTTCAAAATGCCATTTTGTTTAATTGAGGACTTTTTTATGGTCATGGGTTCAGGTTTCATTTACCAATTTTATAACGGCGTTTAATGTCAGTGGACTCCCTTCAACGTTGTCTATTTATTTATATTAAATTAACAAAGTTACCTAGCCCATATGGCCATGGACGGTTCCAAAAAAACTTCTATACATGACTACTCTAAATACTCTTGAAACGACATCTACTGCCAATAGATGTTCTGTAAGTGTAATCTATTGCCCATAGAAATCCCTCAAAGGCCAGCTATTGCCAATAGATGCCCTTCAAGGATCAAATATTATCAATAGAAACCACCTAGAGGCCTTCTATTATCGTTAAATTCGACTAAAACTTGCTTTCTATTTCCGATAGCAAAGCTCTTTGAAAGCACTTCTTTCTATAAGTGTAATCTGTTGTCCATGAAAACCTCTCAAACGCCACCTATTTTCAATAGATTTCCAATCAAGGATCAAATATTATCAATTGAAACCACTTAGAGGTGTTCTTTTATCGTTAAATTCTACTAAGAGTTGCTTTACATTTCCGATAGCAAAGCTCTTTTAAAGCACTTCTTTCTATAAGTGTAATCTGTTGTCCATGAAAACCACCCCTCAAAGGCCATCTATTGCCAATAGATGCCCTTTAAGGATCAAATATTATCAATTAAAACTTCTTTCTTCACTTCTTTCTTCTATAAGTGTAATCTATTGGCCATGGAAGCCCCTCAAAGGACACCTATTGCCAATAGACGCCCTTCAAGGATCAAATATTATGAATAGAAACCACCTAGAGGCCTTCTGTTTTCCTTGAATTTTACTTAGGCTTTATATTTCCGATAGCTTCAAAAGAGCTTTTGAAGCATTTCTTTTTCCGACCGAAGTCAAAATGCGGTATGGGCCTGCGGAAGGTCATCTAATGAAATCATATTTTCTTGTCGTTTTTAAGTAAAAAAACTTTTGCAGGCTTTTTTTAAAGAATGCTCCTTAAAGTATGCAACAATTCCTGGTCAAATGGGTTATGTGTTTTTTTCTAGACAATGATTAAATATTTAATAATTTTTTACAATATTTTTCAAACCAATATTCAATATTATGGGGAAAAGCAAAACAACCACATGTCATTCCTTCAGAACCTCCCTTCTGCAAAACCCCTATATTAAACATGAAACACGTATTATATTGTTTGTGTAAAAGAAACAACAAAACATAACATGTATGTACGTATGATGTTGATATGTTTTATATTTTTAAAAAGTGTTTTTTTTTTCAAAATAAAAGAAAAACCTAAAACAATTGATACGACTATATACAATTTCTATGACCCTAGCTATACATAAAATAATAATATATATATTAAAAAAAAAATATTAATATTTGGACTGATTTGTGACATACATTGTTATGGACTACATTTAAACTTAACTATTAAAAGGCAAAAAAAAAGCAAACAAAACAAAAAATTAATAATTCAAACAACACACACACAAGAATAAAATATAAAAAAACGTAAAAGATTCACAAAAAAATCAAATATAATGTAGAAAAAACCCACACACACAATTGTTATTGTTTATTATATACAAAAAACAATATAATTATATAAAAATGGCTTGTTCGTTTTTCTACGTTCAATCATCCATCCAATCGTTAATGATATTATGATTTCAAATTTTTATTTCAAATAAAATAAAAAAAAAAACAAACAAAAACAGGCTTTAAGTATTGTTTATTATTTTTATAACTCACTCATTTTAAGCATTTTTTCGATTAATAGTGTTTTCTCTTATATATATAAAAAAAAAGTTTATAAAATACAAAAATCAAACAAAAAATACTAATATTTTAGCATAGCTCTCTTTCTTAATTTTAATTAATAATTTCTAATAACCTTTGGCTTTAATTTAAATTTTAAGAAAAAAAAATATGTAAGCTGTAAATCAAATGGAAATTTGCAACAAAATTATAATTGTACTAAACAACAACAAAAAATAAAAGAAAACACAATAACAATAATAGTTTACAAAAATTCCATTTTATTTTTGGTTTTATTTATTTATAAAAAATATGTATTTTTACAAAAATATTGGCGATGTGAGAAAAAAGGTAGATTTTTTGAATTGCTTTTTTATTTATCAACTTCAGTTCCCTCTTGAAAAGGCATCTTTTTTCTCTAGAAAACTTCCAAATGACATCTATTTTTTTTTCGAGTTTTGCCTTTTAAGGCGGAGATCATATGTTTATGATTTATTTGTTTGTTTCTCTTTCGAGACGAGGTTAATGATCTGAAATTTGCAGTGAAAAGGAAAGCCAGATTGACACTATATATTTCGAACTTATTGCGAATTAGCATATGTGAATTAACTATTAGCAGATCTTTTTCACAGCAAAGTTTGTTCTTGTAGTGATGGATTTTTTGTCCACCACAACTACATTGCTTCCAATGCATGCACTTGTTTTAGTGCTGCTTTAGAAAGACGGGTTAATGGCTCTGATCGTAGAGACGGAAACTTCTAGTTGGCTGCACACCGAGGTTCGCGGTTCAAATCTATTTTCAGTGGAATGTCATGAAAAGGCGTCTAATTTCAAAAGGATGTCTTAAAGGGTATCTATTTCCCATAGATGGCTTCGATTTTCAGTAGAAGTTATTAAAACGCACTTATTTTCAATGGAACCCTTTCAAATGACTTTTACGGTCGTAGGATTAGGCATCTTTCAACCGATTTTATATTGGCGTACCCATTTTAACATATATTGCAAAGAATTCATGAAGTTTACAATATACTGCTTCAGAGAGATAAGAATTAAAAGCTCGTAAGATGATAACGTTGAAAGTAAATTATGCCAACAAGTTGGGAATTTTGATGTAACATGTGAACATATAACCGTTTATTCGATCACATCGTTTAAAATGTTAAATGCTTATATACAGGATGAAATTAAAAAAAAACTGTCATAATTTAATTTTTTAAATTGTATTGAATGAAATCAAAAATTTCAGAAATAGCATCAAATTTTAGAATAAGTTTAGACTTGTTCGAAATGGTCTCCTTTGGCACGAATTATGGCCGTTAAGCGGCCAATGAACCCGCCACACCCTGGCCGAATGTTGCTCTGCGGTATTTTGGCCTATTCCCGGCGAAGCGCTGGGGTGAGGTTATCGACACTTTGGTATTTTTTAGTGCCAATCTTGCTTTCCAAAATACTCCAGATACAATAGTCCAACGGATTGGTATCCGGAGATTTTGGTGGTCATTGTGCGCTGGAAATGAAGCGAGGAACCTCATTTTGTAACTATTCTTGGGTGGAGCGTGCTGAGTGCGATGGTGCTGAGTCCTGTTGGAATGTCCAAGGTCTGTGGCCAAAATGCTTGCGTGCTCAAGGTTTTAATACACCCTCCAGAATATTTTCGCCATAATATTCGGCATTTATTCTGATGCCACGGACGATTATTACGAGCGGAGAGCGACCATTGGCTGTTATGGCAGCCCACACCATCACCATGGCCGGCGCTTGAGTTCTGGTGGCCAACCGAAGGTGCACATTTTTAGCTAACCTCTTTGGTAAGTAAACACAATCATTTTGTTTGTTTACAAAGTGCTGGACAAAGAATGTTTTCTCATCGGAGAAAACCAAATTCGGTAGTTTACCACTTTCGGCCCAGCGAAACAACTCTTTAGCTCTTTTGAGTCAATTTTCTTTCAGTTGCGGTGTAAGTTCTTGCACTTTTTGGAATTTCAATGGCTTTACCCTATTTTTCTCATTTTTCAATATTTATCGAATATTGGATGGAATATTGCGATATGTTCAGCACACGAACCATTTTCGGCCACTGCGTTACGCATCATGGTTTGAGGCAAGATGGTAGTTTTGAAAATACGTAGTATAAGCCTACAAAACGTACTAAATGGTACTAAATATGGTATTGGGTGAAAGAATAGTGCTTAAAATGTAATCAATGCTGATGCATTTTGGTATAAGAATCACTATGTGTTTTTAAATAAGTTGGCGGATTTGGAGAATATTGTGTACGAAAAGTACAAAATGGTTCTGAAGTTTATATATAATGTATAAAAAGACCTAGAACTCTGAATATTGGTATAGGAATCATTAATATCTGGAGGTACAGCTGTATGAGGTCTATACGAAACCGTGGACCTTTACGGCCTATGATCTGCCAGAGTAGGTGGTGCCTATTACGAACTCCAAATACCACGTTTTAGATAATTCTGTGGGAAAAATTAGCTAAAATCATCAAAATACCGAGTATCTGAAGGTGTGGAGTCTGTCATTAAACTTTGACGCATGCGTGCAGTTCTCTGCGAGGATATTTCCTACATACTAAGAACATATAATCTCAATTACAGCAGATTCTGTTTGAAATTGCGACAAAAATACCCAAAAAAAAACTTAAAGCTGTCGATACAGTTGTATTGGGCCTCTATCAAAACTTGGAACTAAATAACCCTATTATTTATACCAAAAGTCCTGCAGACATAAAACACATTCGAGTAAAATTTCATCAACCTACTTCATTTTGTTCGGAAGCTGGTATGATTTGGGGGTCCAAACATATGTATGTTACAAACGGGATTACAAACATAATATACCCTACATGCTATGTATTGTGGAAGGGATAAAAAATTGCGAGGGACGCCTGAAAGTATGCTATTAAATACTAAATTAAAATATGAAAAATTAATGGAGGGTATATTTATATTGTCATTCCGTTTGTAACATCCCTTAATATTCGTCGTAGACCCCATAAAGTATATATATTCATGATCAGCATAAAATTCTAAGTTTAAAGGTGTCCGTCTGATAGGTTGGTATTGATGATGATGATGGTTGGTATTGAAAACGAGATATTTTGGTCCATGTTCTAGTCTAGCCGCCATATAACGGTACTTTCCGATATTCGGTATTTTGACGATTTTAGCTAATTTTGTTTAAAAATTGGTATTTGTAGTTCTTAATGGGTTCTCGTTCTGGTGGCGGATCATTGAATATGTAGGGTACATATGTATAACGGTACCTACCGATATTCCATATTTGAATAATCCTAGTTTCCACAATACACAAAATTGTTTCAGACTTGGTATTTAGGACTCGCAATAGAAACCAATAATAATAGTATAATATTGACTATATGGGTTCTCGTTTTGGCATGGGTTCTCGTTACAGCTTTACCCACTTTACCGGTTTTTTTGAAAGGTTTAACTGCATTATCCACATGGTCTTACCGGTATTTGTAGTTTACAGTGGAACACGCTTGAATTCAGATACTTTTATATAAAAAAATGTTTTCTTTACCCAATGGTGGGAGGTATTAAAAATTCGCCCCGGACGAACTTAATGTTTTTATTTACTTGTAAAGCTTAAAAATTGTTGAGAACTCTTATAAGTATGCTATAAAAAGATAAAATATGAAAAAAACACTTTACATATGACTCTAACATAATGTGTAATCGGGCCTCTATATATGACTTCAACATGATGTTTCAGCTAGCCTTTACGAAATATTCATTTACTTTGAATTTTCAAAAACTTCTTTTAAATCCAGTTTATTTTCGTCTCATCTTGTCATTGATATTTGATTCAACCAGAGCTTTGCACTAAAAAGACTAATAAAAATCTAATTAATTTTTTTTCAATCAATATTTTTCACTTTTTTTATATAAAATACAATGATTGTTTTGAATAAGTATTTCTCACTTTTCTACCAAAAACAAAAAGATTTTGTGTAAATAACTTAAGAACAAGTCAATACAAAAAAGAGGAAATCAATTTCAATTTGGATAACAAAATTAAGTAAGAATTTTGGAAAAATAATTTTCTATAAAATATTAAATCATAGAAAAAAATTAACAAACTTATTAGAAATCATTTTCAAGAAATTTTCTTTCAAATTTACATAACCAACAAAAAAACCGAAATACAACCAGAAACCAATTATATTCCTAAAGTGAATCCTTCCTTCCTAGAATACAAAAACCACAATAAACCCTCATGACAAAATGAAAAGACACAACAAAAAAAAAAAAACAATTATGAAACAAAGAGAAAAAGAGAATTATTAAATATACGAATTTATAAGAGAGAAATTATAAAAACAATTCCCGAAATAAATAAAACTTAATTCCAAAATAACAGAATAGTTTAGCAATTCCATGCTGATATACAGAATATACACACACAAAATCACTCCTAAAATAAATCAAATTAAGAAATGAAAAAGCTGAACCTTTTTTCAAATCCATAATAGACTAATGAATAACAAAAATAAATGCCTAAAAGTATTCCACAAAAAATATAAAATAATTACCTTAACTAAAATTATAGCGCGAACTGTTTGTAAGCAAAGACATATAACTGATCATTTTTGTAATAATTATTAACAACAAAAAATATAATTTATTTAAATATATAGCAGTCATTCCATGGACAATTGTATGACAGAGATACAAGAAATGCTTTAAATATTTACCCTCCTCCAACCGTTAGATTTCCTGGCCCACTGTGTAATAAATATTAATAAGGAGCCATGGAAAAATAATATTTCCTCCATTTTTTTATACCCTCAGCCATATGGCTAGAGATAGAGATGATACGGCCAAAAACGTGCCCTATCGAGATAACGGCTTTAGACTCTAGGTCTCTTTTTACTAAATCCGTTTCAGGACATTTGGAGTCGATCTAGGAATGTCCGTTCGTCTGTCCGTCTGAGTGTTTTTTTGCTGGCTGGTGCGTGCGAAAACTCTCCAAAATTTTATCCGATTTGATCCAAACTTGGTACATCGTAAAATTTTTGTCAAACATAGGTCGAGTTCGAAGATGGGCAATATCGGGCCACTCCTTCTGGTAACTTCCCCACAAAATGTCAATATTTTCAAAGAAAATAATTTACTGCACAGAAAGAGAAAGGATCATCCGATTTTGCTTCAACTTTCCAAATTTTAATATTTCCATTAGTGCTACATCAGGTGCGAAGATGGACAATATCGCTCCATCAAGGACC